CCCACAGCCACACCATCTCTACTCTCCCAGCGTCTACTTCAAAGCGCACTTCGTAAAGCCCGCAAGAATGACATTGTCCGGGTCAAAGACCATCTCTGGAGTGAAATAACCAAAGGCGAAACAAACCTCGATCACATCTACCACACTGTCCATGAAAAGGAAGTTTCTACTCAATTCTATCTTGTCTCCCTCCTCCATCTTGCCAATGAAAAGAACCTCCGAATTACATCCATCCACCCCAATACCCTTGCCCCTCTCACCGACCTGCACTTAACCGCCCCAACTCAACAATAAACTAGTTCTAATCTAACCATCCATACACTTTATTTAATCTCACTTTCAGTTTCTTATTGCCTTCAGTTGCTCACCACTTTCATTTACTCATTACCTTCAGTTTCTTATTGCTTTCAGCTACTCACCACCCAATCCTAACTCAATTATAACAACTACCTCCTAGTACACAATAAATCCAAACCAATTCAACTTAACCCAACTTAACTCAACTTAACCTAACTTAACTCAACTTAAATAAACCTAACTCAACTTAACTCAACCCAAATTCAACTTAACTCACCTTAACCTAACCTAACCTAACCTAACTTAACTTAACTTAAATAAACCTAACTCACCTCAAAATCAATCCAATATCACCTCAATCCAAACCCACTTCAATCCAAACCCACTTCAATCTAAACCCACCACAACCCACCTCAACTCAACACCAACACCAACACCACAATACCTACTAAGCACAATATTTTTTTACTCCTTCCATGCCAGAACTACGCCGGTGTGTGACTATTTATCCTCCCATGCTTGATATCATTATGCACGTTCCAAAAGAAACTCTTGAAAATCACCAACTAAAGCCAAATACGATTGTTTCCTATTGCGAGAGTAAGCACAAGTCTATCTGCCAGTTAGTACAGGACAGAATAGATAGTAAAACAAGCTCTCCTACTTTTTTAGCTGGTGGTGCTACTTTCAACACTCAAAAGATACTTTCGCGTTGGTTGCAATGTGACTTTTTTGGAATTGTTGGTCATGATGTTTATGGGACTATTCTAGCTAAGAAGATGGAGGGTACTTTAGTCAACATCCATTTAGACCGGACTTCAGTATGTTCGACGCAATGGGCTTTAGTTTTCTTATCTGGTGATGAACGTACTTTAGTAGCTAAACAGGATGAAAGTATTTGTTATTCCGATAAGGCTAAAGAGCAAATAGCTGCTTTAATTGATCAGCACGCCCTTTTCTACTTTGTTTCTTTTACCTTCTTTCTTAAGAACGTTACTCAAGATTCTTTAGCTATTATAAAGACTAAAGCTAGTAAAGGATTCTGTTTGGTAGTGAACTTGTCTTCTGTAGAGGTAGCTACTCTATTTAAAGCCCAAATTCTTAGTGTTTTAGCCCAGAGTGACTTTGTGATTGGGAACAAAGAGGAGTACTCTGCTCTTTTTGATGAGAGTGATATAAGTGCTTTACCGGGCCATTTAGCTAAGTTAGGGTGTGGCTTTGCCATTACTGATGGGGCCAAGACGGTTATTGGCCAGATTCCTGGTGGGCCTTTAAGAACTGCTCAGCCCAAGACTCTTTCGCATGAGCTTAATACTAATGGAGCGGGTGACTCTTTTGCCGCCGGCTTTATTGGGGCTTTGAAAGACCAAAAGACTCTACAGGACAAAGATGTGCTTCCTTTATTGCAAGCGGGTATTGAGGCCTCTGCCGAGTACATTCAGCAAGTAGCCAACATAGTGCACAATTAGTTAGTGTTGAGTTAGTATTGGGTTGAGTTGAGTTGAGTTGAGTTGAGTTGGGTTGAGTTGAGTTGAGTTGAGTTAGTATTGGGTTGAGTTGAGTTGAGTTGGTGTTACACTAACTCAATTAGATGATACTAGATTTAGTATTAAGTTATGACTGATTAATAATTAAATTAGTGATTCAATTGGTGTTGTGTTAGTATTGGTGTTGATATTGTGTTAGTATTGGTGTTAGTATTGATATTGGTGTTGATATTGTGTTGGTATTTTGATTTGATAGTTAAATTAGTGATTCAATTGGTGCTGTGTTAGTAGTGTTTTGGTAATGATTTGATAGTATTTTGGTGACGAATTAGAAGTTATCTTATCTGACCAATTGTAAGAAATAAATTAATCAATCAAGTATTTTTGCAATGACCGTTATTACCCAAAAAGGAAAAATTCAAAGTCTCTACTAATAAAGTGTTTGCAAAAATTAGCACTATGAGTCTCAAGAAATCAGAAACCAAGAAGCCTAGTGAGAATGATCGCTATGACGATATAGATATAGATACGCATGAGCTACGAGCACATGCTATTAAAAGTGAGATTGCTAATCATGGTCCACCCCGATCTTCGACTAAGGCCGAAAGTATTTCTAATTTGAACAAAAGACTGCTCTACTACTTATTAGCTGGTGTTTTCATCATTAGTTTGGTTGGACTAGCTGTGGCCTGGAATATACAGATGAAGAGTATGCCTGAACTTCAAAATGAAAGTCTCACTAAGCTCCTTTTGAATCTGGTGATTGGCTTTTTCTGGAACGAAGGGTTTGGAGTAGCCGCACTTTGGATGCTTTTTTTGGGCGGTTCAACCGTTATTTTAACTTACCTCTCCGATCTAGCTTATCGGCATCGAGTACGTCTCTACTTGGGTCTAGCTTATGTTTTACAAGCGACTTTGCTTATGGTGGCCACTGGAATAATTGCTGGTGTGATTATCAACAACTTTTATTTGGCACCAAGCGGTAATTGGAGTTCACTTCAGGTGGGAATTGTAGCTGGATCCGTTATCTGTTCCGGAATTGTCTCGGTCTTGGTTTCTTGGGCTGGTGTAGCTAGACATTTTGGTGCAGCTAAAAGCGCAATTGATGTAGATCTACCGATGATTAGAGGCCTTAATAAGAAAGGAGTTCCCTACTACGAAAGCATTTACAACATAGTTCAGGAATCTCCTCCGCCCACCAATCCAAGAATAACTTCTGAAAGTCTCATTCAAGGCACACTGGCCCTCTATGCCACGGATCCAGAGAAAGCCGATAGCATTTTAGATGAACTAAAGAAAAGCAACCCAAAATTAGGCGGGGCCTTATCAGATCTTGTTAAATCCCAGGACAAATTGACTATTAGTGATAAGACACCCTTAATATCCAACCATAAACGCCCGGTAAGCAGCACTCTGAGCAATAAGATCAAAAAAGCCTTTCGGGAATCCAATCTAGTCTATCTCCATGATCTAGATCTGGCTCTCCAAGAACATGTATCTGACTATAATGCAGGTGAATCAAAGGGCACAGCAACCGGCCTTACACATGCAGAGCAAGTAGCTAGAGGTGCCCGTCGCATGCGTTTGGTCTTCCCCTGGATCCTTGGGCTTTGGGTAGCCGGTATTTCTCTTGCTGCCGGCTCAGTTCTTTTCATGGACTCCTTCACCGACATCAAAGCATTCGCTACTTTGTCCAAAGCTGTTTATAATCCTGCGACGGGCTTCAGCGGTTCCGGCGCCGCCCTGGGCATCTTTACCATTATATGTTCTATTTGGACGTACCTTACTACTATGAAGTTCTTTTCTTTCTTCCTAGGATCGATAGTTGGTGAGTTCAAATCTGGCCGTAGTTTTGGCATGTGCTTAGTCGAGTCATTCCGGAAAGTACTCGTTAATGCCGCTAGATTAATTGGTGGAGGATTTCTTCGAACTGTCTTAGCAATGTTTACCCTACTTAGTTACTTGATCTTTTACATTCCCGTCGGTTTGGTTAAACGAATATCTGGCAAGGAGCCTCTCATACCAAATCTATCTCTAAATGTTATTCTGGCCAAATTCTATATTCTTATATCAACGATGTTCTTAGCAGATTCTCTCTTCCGAGCTTTCTCTATTGGAATGCTCCCACTCGACGGCACTACTTATCAAGACAAAGAAGACTATTTGGCTAGTCAACCATCCTATTGGTTTAGTCGCAATGTCTTCTTTGCCCTGGCTATTATTTGTCTTATCGCTATCTTATTCTATCTTCTCTACTACTTCTCCGAAAGCAATTCTAATGTCTCCAACACAACCCAAGCCGGCGCAGTAGCCAGCAACATTGACCGCGAATCGGTCAAACAAAACATTATAACTATTATGCGCGTATTCTTTACTGCTTTCATATTCGTCGGTCTTATCATTCCAGCTGTCATTGTCAGTTTCTCTGCTCGGCGCAATCTATCAGATTACACTGCCGGGAACAAGTTCCATTGTCCTGACTCCGCAGCCGCCAATGTCCCCCAGGCAGGCGCCAATTAGATCGAATTTAATGCAACCATCACTATCACTAGTGGCAGGCGTAGATGTATTAGGCTATCTTTAAGTTTAGTTTTTGTTAAGTAGATAAGTTCTGAATAAATAAGTTCTGAATAGATAAGTTCTGAATAGATAAGCTCTGAATAGATAAGTTTTGAATAGATAAGTTCTGAAAGTATAAAATTTGAACCTAACCCAATAAAATAGATAGTCAAATTAGTAGATATTCAAATTAGTAGATCATCAAATTAGTAGATATTCAAGTTAGTAGATATTCAAATTAGTAGATAGTCAAATTAGTAGATTATCAACCGGAGTCGAGTTTAAATTAAGTTTAAGTTAGGTTAGGTTTGTGTTCAATTTATTGCTTAGGTTTAAGTTAGGCTTAAGTTGAGATAAGACACTAGACCATCTCAATACCATCTTAACCTATTTTTTACTTATCATAATCACAACTATTTACTTATTAAATCAACATACCCTAACTCAACTCAATACTAACTCAATACTAAACCAACACAACACCAACTCAACCCAATACTAAACCAACTCAACTCAATACTAAACCAACTCACTACTAAACCACCCGCAGATTTTTTAGCCATGAAACCACTAACTGTTCGTACTCTTGACCGAGGACCCGGTAATCCAGCAACTACCATCAAATACCAAGAAGAAAACACCGCAAATGCACAACACAAAGAGTATCTTAGAGCCGTTAAAGAAGTTAAACTTGATCATATTTTCCGTAAGCCGTTTGTAACCGCACTCGAAGGCCATACTGAAGGCATTACTCGGATAGTCGGCTCAAAAACCAACAACGATCTAATTGCCTCTACCGACTTCTCAGGAGCCATTAGTACTTGGGATCTATCCATTAAACAGCAAATCCAAACCATTCCTTCCTTCTCTACACCCCGGGCCCTCTCTTTCCTCCACAACGACCTTATCTACTCACAAGCCCAAAGCATCTTCATTCAAACCCATTCTCCCACCACTCCTACTCCTACTACAACTACAACTACTCCTAGTGAATTCTTAGCTGCCGCTACAGTTCTAGATCTTTCTTCTTTTGATTCGACCTTTGTAGCAGCTACTGTTGATGGGATTAACATTTTTGACCACGACCGAATTAAACCTATTGCCACCTATGCAACCACTCGTCCTCCCAAAAGAATCATTCTAGCCAGTCCACAAGCCATCTATACTGCCGAAGACAACCACTTAGCCGGCTACGATACACGCACAGGCAACCAAGAATTCCTCATCCGAACTAGTTCAGCCATCAATGCCTTTGCCATCAACCCGCACAAACCAACCGAACTAGCCACCGGGCTTAATAGTGGCGAAGTCCATCTCTACGATATTCTCTTTACTAAGCAAAGTCAAGCCCATTACACTCCCCCTAATAAAATCTTACGTGGTCATCCTAAGGCCATCATGGACCTCACTTACTTCCCCAACGGCCAAAAACTAGCTACTGCCTCCCTCGACCGCACCATCCGTATTTTCGGTAACAACCTCACTCATACTCAAGAGCACATCTACCACAACCGAAGAATGCAAGGCATCAATGCTCTTTTCTGCACCAACGACAGTCACTACCTCCTATCCGGCAGCACAGACACTAACCTTCGTATCTGGCAAGCCAATCCCAACCGCCCCCAAAAACTCCTCAACAAAACAGAAGAGGACTCCCGAGCCCTTGGCTCCCTCCTCAAGCGCAAGTACAGCCAAGTCAACCAACTCTCCACACTCACTCGCCACATCATTCTCCCCCGGGTCCTCAAAGCCGAAGCCCGCAACCGTTTCCACCACCTCCAAGCCCAACAGCGCAAAGAGCAAAACCGCCAGAACAACCATTCCAACTAGATCCATTTCCTACCAATTTAATAGAATACACATCTACATATTTATCTTATCTACACATTAAGTTAGTCTTTATTTAACAAATAACTCACTATCTAATTTCGTCTAATTCAACTTAAATTATCTAATACTTCAACTACATCAATTTAATACTATCTAAATACTACAATCTTAAACTAACTCTAACTCAATCTAAGCCAATCCAAACTAACTTAAACTAATTCAATCTAATACATCAATATAAGCCAATCCCAAACTAACTTAACCCCACTCCAAACTTAAACTTAAACCCACTCCACTCCACTCAACCCCATCCTATCTCAACTCTAACTTAAACTTTAACTAATCAAATCAAAGCAACAGAATACATTATTTTTTAGTTTTCTTTTATTACCCCCCCAGATGAAATACGGAGTTTGCAGTTTTAGTGGCCACTCAATTTACAGAGGAAAAGGTCGCATTGTTGTCTTTTCAAATGGATCTTCCTTTTTATTAGGTAATAGAAAGAGTCGTAGTTATTTTATGCGTAAAATGAACCCTAAGAAACTTAGCTGGACTTTGGCCTCACGAATTAGTCGTAAGAAGGCCACAGCCTTTAAAGTCTCTAAAGTTCAAGCACCAAAGGTAGTTAAGTCAATTCGGTCCTTTGTTGGTCTTTCCTTAGATGAGCTGAAGAACAAAATGGGTGCTGAGGAGGTAAAGCAAGAGCCTTCAGTGCGATTTAGCAAACGGGATAAGATAAAGAGAGTTTCACAAAGCAACTAATAAATGTGATTAAGTGATTGAGTTAAGTTATGTTATGTTTTGTAGTGAGTTAAGTTAAGTTAAGCTGTGTAGTGAGTTAAGTTAAGGTAAGCTTTGTAGTGGTTACCCATTCCAATACTAACTCAACCCAACTCAACATAACTCAACTCAACATAACTCAACTCAACTAGTACTTATTTGAGTGGGTCGTGGATGGCTTACGATGAGTGGCAGAATGGTCGAGTGGTCTAAGACGCTAGATTCAGGTTCTAGTCCTCCGGGGCGGGGGTTCGAATCCCCCTTCTGTCATTTTGGTCTTTTTTTTACTCGCCAATGGATCCCCAGGAAGTGTCGCAATTGTCTGATAAGATATACTATAGTGATACTTATGAGGATGCGCAGGCCAATATATATAGACATGTGATTTTACCGGCTGAGTTGTCTAAACACGTGCCTAGAGATCGGTTGTTAGAGGAGCACGAATGGCGAGCACTGGGTATTATGCAGAGCAGTGGCTGGCAGCACTATATGGTTTTCAAGCCAGAGCCGCACATTCTCCTTTTTCGCAAGAGGAAGGTCTGTGCTGGCAGTGATTTTGAGTTGACTACAAAGTCACAGTGATAACTCAACTCATATCTATAATAAACATATACCTTGCTTATATCTAGTTGTATTAAGATGGAGTTAAGTATTGGGTTGGTATTGGGTGGAGTTGGTATTGAGTTGTGTTTGGGTGGAGTTGAGTTGAGTAGGTATTGGGTGGGGTTGGTTATCTAATAAGAATCATAACGTAACTCAACGTAACTTAACTTAACTCAACATAACTCAACTCAACGTAACATAACATAACTTAGCATAACTCAACTTAACTTAACATCTGTTGATCTATCTAATTGGTGCTTAAATTTTGTCCATGCCGTTGTTGATTGTGTCGGGAATGCCGAGTTTGGCTAAGAAAGAACTCTTTTTGGGACTGGTGGAGACTTTTAGTCGAGAGTATTCGCTGGTGGTGGTTGGCCAGGAAAGGATTGGAGTGGATTCGCGGGAAGAAGTAAGTGTTCTTAAGGCGGCTGTTCAGAATAAACTATCTATGGATGTGCTAGTTGCGGTTTATGCGCCTTTGCACATGAAGAGTTTGCGGTATGAATTGGCTAGTTTAGCTCGGAATTGTTCCATGGATATGGCCCATGTCTATTATAGAGGTGAATTTGGTGAAGGAGGTGAGCTTAAGGAGTTGGAAGTACAGCAGGCTTGTTTGCAAGGTAGTGCTGGTCTTGGGTTAGGCTGGGAGTTTATTCGAGTGGATCCTAATGGAGAGAAAGAGTCGGTGGTGGTTATGCAACGGATTTTTGAAAAACCTCGTGATGGTGATCGTTGGGATAGGCCTTGTTTGACAGTTGGGTTAGTGGATGAACGAATGAAGGCTGTAGTGGCTGAGGAGGTGGCTAGTGTGATTAAGAAAACAAAGAAGAAGCGAGTCTCGGCGACTAAACTTATTCCGCAATTGGATGATGCTAAGTACCTAACTAAGGTTAAAGAAGTAATTAACCAGGTAATGGATGAATGGAAACAGAAAGAAGTTGTTCCCTTAGGCGTATCTCGGCAGGCAGAACGGGACTTTCTTGCTTCAATTAAGATGAACCCGCCACAACTCCCAGAAGTCAATCGGATCTTTAGAGAGTACCTTGAGAAGTATTTGCACAACTAATAAATTGGGTTAGGTTTGATTGGTGTTGTATTGTGTTGTGTTATGATGGTGGTGGTGTTGTGTTGGGGTTGTGATGGTGTTTAGGATTGGGTTAGGATAAAGTATAAATAAGATAATACCTTACTAACCGAATTCATGTCTCACTTAAATCTAGTATAGTAATAGTTAAAACAAACTCTGTTAGTATTTAATCTTTGAAATCAGAACAATATCAATGTTCGTGTTAGTATTCGTATTCGTAATTGTCTTTCTATAAACATAACTTAATTCCATCTACTTGCTAACTCAATACTTCCCTCTTGATCAATAAACCAAACCTAACCCAATCAAACCCAATCAATAAACCAAACCTAATACTCATTCAATACTAACTTAATACTAACTTAATACTATACGCGGGTTGTGTGGGAGGTAAAGGTGTAGCCAAATACTGTGTTCCAAGGATATGTGCGGGTGTAGATGTCTTGCTTGAGATGTAAGGAAAGGCCTTTGGAGATTCGGCGTAACTCTCCTTCGTAGCTGCGCAGTGGATCAGTTATAGCCAGTGTTAACCAGCCATGTGCGAAGTGTTTGGCTGGAGTTTTGATCTGGGAGCCGGCTCCGCGTAGATATAGATGCTTATCTGTGGCTAGTGCTAATTCAGTGAAGCAAAGCTGGCGGCATTCGGTGAGAATAAGCAGGAGGACATAAGGAGGTATGAAAGACGAACTGCGCGGGTAGTAGGTCTTGACTCGACTGATCATATACTCTTGAGTTGATTTGGGAATAACTACGGACTCACCAGTGCTGGCTTCCATAAAGAGTTTTAGGAAGGTTTGGGGAGTTTTGCCGGTGAAAAGGATCCAGTCATCTTCGGGATAAAGCTCTTTTTCGGGCATCGAAAAAATTGGGATGGACCGGGAGAAGTACTCTAGACAGATAAGGTTATTTGGGGAAGAAACTCAGCAAAAGCTTAGTAGTGCAAAGGTAAGAATAGTTGCTCCTGAAAATTCCGATATTCTGCCATTTTTAATTCGGCTTATTACCCAAATTGGTAGTCAGTTGGTGACTGAAAAAGATCGGGGCGAGGTTGATTGGGTTTTTGTAGTTGATCAGCCGGATACTGTGTGTTCTGATGGTTTAGATAGCAATCAGTTGTATATTTGTACTAAAACCTTAAGCATTGCCAAAAGCAACCCAATACTAACCCAATGCACTCCTGCTCAGATTGATAGTAGTGTGTATCGCGAGTATTTAAACATTCTGGCCGGAGTCGCGGTGCAAGAGTATATCAAAACAATGGCCGGCATCCAGACACTCGATCATTGGAGTCTCTTAGATACCTTAAAATAAGTTAACTTAACTTGCTACTAACCCAATACGGACTCATTTGATCTCATTTTGATCTTAACTAAATATTAACTCAGTTTTATCTCTATCTTATCACATCACATCACATCTCAACCCAACGCAACCCAACTCAACTTAACTTAACTCAACTTAACTTAACTCAACCCAACTTAATCGGAATCAAATAAGTCTGCTAAGGTCTGCTCTAAAGTACTTTGGTCCTCTTGTGTGCTGGAAAAGATTCCGGAGGGTAATGACATAGACATCGACGGCGATGAGTCTTCAATAAACGTGTGTGATTTGGCTGGAGTAGACTTATATGTCTTGGGTGTGGATTTAGCTACGCTAGTTTTGGATTTTGTAGTGATATCAGAAGTGGGGTTGGTGTCGGTGGTGGTTGGTACTTTGGTTGTTTTAACGGCTATTTGAACGGCTTTGAGATGATGGTAGGCACGAGTTCGTTTGTTGCCACAGAGAGCTGAGGCCTGAATCCAGCTGGTGTAGAGCTTACAGAGAAGTCTTAGGTGCTGGTAGTGTTGCGTAGAGGGGGTAGTGTCGGATTGAGCTTGAATTTGTGCTAGTCTTCTGTGGTAGATGGGTGTGGCTTGGTTGAGGAGAGAAAGACCGAATTTGCTTTGAATGAAGTCTTTAGCCGTAAAGGGCTTTTCTCGGGGCTTCTTGCTTGGGGTTGTGCTGGTGGTATTCGGGGCATTAAAGGGATTAGGAAGATGGGAGTGATCGGTTTGTTCGGTGGACTTGGTAGTGTTAGAGGTCTTAGAGGTGCTTTTGTTCATTTGGTAATAAATTTCTGGGTGTATTGGATTAGTATAGTGATACTGTGGGTTAGTATTTGATTTGAGTTAGATGGCATCGAATTGAAGAAATCACGATTAGTGGGAGTATATCACGATTGGGGCCCTTTTTTGCATGCCTGACCACCGGGAACAATCTAATACTTTGAAAAGACAAAGCGTTCATCTGGCCTTTGTAGATAGTATCGCTCCAGTAAGTAGTAGCGCGGGCCAGACCACTGCACGCGGTTCTATGAACTTAACAGATACGGCTTCGCGACGACTATCAGCAACCGATTCGATTCCTTTAGCCCCCCTTCGCCATTCAAGTAGTGGGTTTACGCGGCAGGTGTTTGTGGACGGAAAGTCGGTGAGTGTACCAATGCGAAGACAGCAATCAACCCAGTCAATTATGCTAATGCCAACCCAATCCAGACTAAGCATAGGCAGTGTTGCTTCGCTGGAGTCATCCACGCCGGCTGCTGTTAACGCCGTGCTCATCGGCAGCTACGATATGAAACCAAACTCGGCCCCAAAGCAGCCCGCTCAGGAGTTGCTACTCTCGCCAAAAAGCGGTAGCAAAGAAAGCGTGCTACTGCCGGGTAACCTTCATAGCGCGTGGGTTTTGCTGACGGCTCGCTATCATGAACTTCGTTCCTTTTTTACCCGTGATACTGGATTCTTTCCGGTTCTTTGTTTTGCTTTCTTCTTCTTTCTACTGGCTATTCGCACGATAACTTTAAGTCTGACTGAGCTAATTGCTTACTCACAAGAAGACAAGGAAAGAAGTGGTGATCCCTTTTTGTTTGCCTTGCTGATGGATGGTTTGGGCGGGTTTGGGATGCTGGCTTTGATTTTTGGCTTTCGCCATCGCTATATGGTGGTTCGCACTATTTATGTGCTGATTGTTCCGTTGTTTGTCCTGTTGTGGGGCGGGACTTTTTGGTATATCTATGCGGATATTGGGGGGAAGATTTCGTTTGTTTCGGTGTTTAGTATGCTTTTGTCCTACTTTGCCATTGTCATTGGATACGGAACTGCCTTTGCGAAGTTAAAGTTCTTCGCTTTGCCCCACATGCAGTTTTCCTTCTTGCTTATCTTTTCTTCCCTACTAGTCGCTCAGCGCCAGATCGTTGTTAACAACTTTGCGACTTTTAGCGAGATCGCCCAAAGAGCTATCCAACTAGCAGTGATATCCACTCAGCGCGGCTCACTTTTACAGCACCGCTTCTCGAATAAGGCTGGTAATATGCTTACAAATAACTATCAAAAAGAGATATCTGTTTGCCAAACTCAGCTGTTTATTGAGATCCTTTTTGTTGAGTTTATCTTGATTCTATGGTACTGGTGGTCTAAGAACATTATTGTGCGTATTAAAGAAGCCGGAAAGATCACTGAGCCCACTCGAGTTGAAGAGATTTCAGGGCCCTCAACCAAACTAGCCTACTTCCGCTGCCTTGCCACCTTTATCATGTGCCAGATCATTGCTTTGCTACTCTTTAATATGCTAAACATGTCTATCTTCCAAACCCACCACAAAGTACTCCAACCCCAACCCAGTCTAATGACAACCCGATACTAACTTTAATCCAATACTAACTTAACATCTCCTAACTTAACATCACCTAACCCCACACCACCTAACTCAACACCACCTAACTCAATATTAGGCCCATCCAAATATCAGCCTTTTACTCTAATTCTTAGTGCTAATTTAGGTTTCCTTTTAGGGGTAGATTCACAGTTGATTTCGTCGGGCCTAGGCTTTTTAAACCCATAAATAAGGTTATGTGCATCCTTTTATCATGAAGTTACTCGCTTTGTTAGGAACTTGTGCCCTTACTCTTTTTGAACTAGCCCGGGCTGGTAACACTGGTGAGGAAGTCGCTGTAGCCAACACTGCCTCTAATACTGAGAAAGTCCAAGACAAACACGACTTCTTTGCCATTGATGGCTTTGACTCCTATTTCATGCCCTCTGTTTGCCCAATCCAATGCCCAATTCAATGCCCTCCTGCGTGCCCACCGGCATGTCCACCTGCCTGCCCTCCTGCTTGTCCACCTGCGTGCCCCCCTGCTTGTCCTCCTGTTTGCCCAATCCAATGCCCACCAGCATGTCCTCCCGCTTGCCCCCCTGCCTGCCCTCCCTCTAACTGCTCGCCAGGCTACAACAGCAATGTTAACATGTTCTTATACTCAATCCACCGTGCTATCCGCCGCGCCAAAACACCAGCCCAGAGGGCTGCTTTAAGAAGGCAATTACAAGCTTTGATCGCTAGAGGAATTGAGCTACTCCGCTGCCAGAATAGCTGCGTCTCCTACTACTGGATGGGCGACTTCACCAACCCCAAAGCCCGCTTGAAGCGGCTTTCTAGCATCCTTCATCAGATCCTCTGCCAACTCACCCCTGAGAACCAGAACGCCTTGGTCTGCCAAGGATGGATGTAATTGCCCAGACTAGTCAATAAATAGTAAATACTTTGCACGCTCCTCTACAATGTTCAATGCCGAGGCCCACTTTCTATCTCGCTCGTCAACCCAGCCAAATAGTGAGAATAAAGACATGACTGTTTGGCTAGGCACTACTGCTTACGAACACCCGCCTAAGAAGAAGAATCGATCCGAAAAGGCCGATTATGAAAATATCACATGGGCCGTCGCCCAGCAACTAAACCAACACTTCACCAACTACATCGCCCAAATGGTCAAGCAAACAACCAACATGTCCTTGCTAGCTCTTTTATCTAAAACCGAGCTAATGGGTGCTTTGGCCTCCCCAGTTCCCCATGCCGCCCCACAAGAAGACCCAGAACGAACCGGCATCATTGTTAATGAGACCAAAAATACTCTAGCCATCTCCATTAACGGCGTAGTCAAGATCTTTCCCAAAGCAATGTACAACTTCTTTCTCTACGTGGAGAACAAGAAGTACTTCTTTATCGGGCCGGCTATGAAGATAGATAGAAAATATACCAAGTAAATAAACCATCTGGCTCTTTTATTGATTAGCTAATTGCGTAAAGAGGACTCGTTCCGCGGCTAAATCAGCCAGCAGTCGAGGAACCCTCTCAATCAGCACTCTTATTTGAGCACAGCTATCCCGCTCGCGAATAGTCACACTTTGATCGTTTAACGTATCAAAATCAATGGTAACGCAGAAAGGCACTCCAATCTCATCTGCGCGGGCATACCGCCGTCCGATTGAGTTTCGACTCTCATCAGATTGGCAGCTAACTCCCTGCTCGATTATGTTAGCCTTCAGCTGGCTCGTAATCATAGTAAATCGTGCATCCTCCTGTAAAGGCAAAATCATGCACTTAGTTGGAGCCATCTGCGGGGTAAACCTAAAGTAGGCCCGTTGCTCGTCCTGGTCCCGAAGATCAAAGCTATGCCACAACAAAGCATAAAGAATCCGGCCAATACCAAAGGAAGGCTCGATTACATTGGGCGTGTACTCCTCCACGTGCTGAATTTCAGTCTGCTTCTCCACCGAGATATGCAGTTGCTCGTTTTCGTAGGTTATTTCCATTGTACCATTAACTGCCCGTTTAGCTAGCTCGTCTTGGGACATACTGGTCAACTGTTCAATCAATGCTGGGGCCTTGCCACGGAACTTGGCACCTAGTTTCTTCTTGTCAACTATTGGCACAAGCTTCTCAACGGTAATAGGAGCTGGCAGAGCTCTTCGAGCCACTAGTTTATCGCCTGTCTTCTTACTGTGAACACTTAAGTCGTAGCAGGCCCGATCGGCAATTCCCACACACTCAATCCAGCCAAAGCTACTGTTAATCTCCGCATCCCAGCAATCCGTTGCATAGTGAGCCATTTCCGTGGGCAAGTGCTGCCGCATCCTAATCTCTTTACTAGGAATACCTATCTTAGTTAAGAACTGGAAAACTCGGGCAATAAAGTATCCTAAAGTTTCGTTGTTAACTACGCCTTGAGCCACAGCATCTCCAATCTTCATAGAGTGAAGTGTCTGTTCCGAATCTCCTGGCCGCTGGTAGAGAAGGGGAATACAGGTTTCCTTCTCTGCTGCAAACTTCGAGTGTTTCTTCTCTTGAGGATGCACAAAGTGTTCTATCTCCGCCATCAAAAACTCACGTACACGGAAGAGTCCAGTGCGAGGACTGATTTCATTTCGGAAGGCTTTTCCCACCATTGCACTTGCAAATGGCATCTTATCTCCATTAGCCTCTAACAACCGCTTGAAGTTCAAAAACTGGCCTTGCGCAGTCTCCGGCCGTAAAAAGGACTGGGTCTTGCCACCAGGCCCAACCACCGTATTAAACATCAAGTTAAAATGAACAACCTTAGTTAGGTCATTTCCAGTTTCACTCTTGATCTGATAATGCTCAATGATTTCTTGCAACTCCTCAAGACCAAATGAATCAATTTTAGCCGCTGTTTGGTACATTTCCTTTTTGATCTCCTCTGGTTTAGTAACTGCTTCTCTTTCTAGCCAGTCCTTCACTAAATGATCGGCCCGATAGATATCACCGGTTTTGGCATCACTACACATTAGATCAGTAAACTTATCAACGTGTCCACTAGACTTAAGTACTTCAAAAGGTGTAATGATAGCCGTGTCTACTTCTTGCATACTCTCTTCTAGGACAAAGAATCGGCGCCAAATAGAGAGAAAGTTGTTTTGTAGAGCACACATATGCGGGCCATAATCAAAAAAGCCCGATACACCACCATAGGCCTCAAAACTCTGAATATAGAAAAATCGTCGTTTGGCCGTTTGCTCAAGCTTCTTTCGCTTCTCTTCCATTGGACTACTCATAAAAAAAGTCTATTACGGCGGCACTCTCTACTTAGATTAGGTTTAGTATTGGGTTAGTTTGATTTGGTGTGGTATAGTATAGTTTAAGTGTGATTTGGTTTGATGTGGTATAGTATTGGGTGTGATTTGGTTTGATATGGTATAGTTTAAGTGTGATTTAGTTTGATATGATATGGTATAGTTTAGTATAGTATAGTTTAAGTGTATTGTATTGTGGTCTGTTGATTTGCTATTTAGTTATGTTGATTTGATTTATTGAATAGGTTGCTTTGGCTTTGCGTATCTTATTGGGTCGGTTGAGTTAGGTGGGGCTTAGCTGGTGTTGGAATTGGCCATCTTTTCCAGGATGAACTGGCGATGTGTGGTGATTCGGTTGAGGAGTTTGGGACTAGTGAGTGGGGCGAGCTTTTTCTCCTGAATAGTGGTTTGGGTGTGGGCTTGGATGTGCTCGAGAAGGGCGGAGTCTCCGGTGGCCACAAAAGAAAGAGCACATCCTGTTTGTAATAATCGACCGGTTCGACCAATACGATGAATGTAATCAATTGGATTGTTGGGCAAGTCATAATTGATTACTAGGGAAATATCTTTGATATCCAGACCTCGTGAAGCTATATCAGTAGTTAGGAGCACTCGAATCCGACTGGCTCGGAAGTCGTTAAAGGCGTGCAGACGCGTGCGATAGTCCATGCCTCGACTCAGACTGGCTGCATTTACGCCCAGCTCGGGAAGAATCTTAGCCAAAATAGTGCACTCTTCGGAGCGGTTCAAGAAAACAATGACTTTGTTGTTGGGGTACTCTTCTAAGAGCAAAGTCACTAAATGGGCTGCTTTGGCATGATTGTGGACTAAGGCATACTCTTGAGTGATTTGCTTGGGGATAGATTCTTCCCGCACATCCATCTTACACATCTGCTTTTGGTGGATCATATCCCAAAGTGCGGGACAGGTTAGCTCTGGGGCTGGTTGAGAGTCGGTCTCGTTTCCAGCTGCTTCCATGCGAATAGGTACTTGTGGGGTAATGTCAGTGGCGGAGAAGAGAAGCATTTGGTGCTTAGACGGGAGTAGACTAAGAATTTGGTAGACCGGCCGAGACTGTGGACCATTGAGCAGTAAATCAGCTTCGTCTAGCACAACCATTTGTAGCCGCCGGAAGCATGCCAAGGTTTCTTTGCTGCTTAGCATAGCTGCTAATCTTCCCGGCGTTGAGACTACTATGTGCGGCTTCTTCAGAAGAGCAGCAGTTTGTTTGTGAATCTCAACTCCACCATGCACTATTTCACTACGAATGCCAAAGTAGTTGCCAATTACATCTATTTGCTCTTTTGTCTGTAAGCACAACTCTCTAGTTGGAGTAAGAATCAGCGAATGAATGCCATACGGGTCATCAGCTAGTTTTTCGACCAAAGGGATTACAAAACAAGCTGTTTTTCCTGTTCCTGTCTCTGCTAAGCCCATGACATCCCGTTCTTCGCGAAAGGGAAGCATCTTTGCCTGGATCCGGGTTGGTTCTTTGTATCCAATTCGTTTTAAAATGTCGTTAATTTCTTCATTGTCCGAAAACAGCATCTCTTGCAAAATCCTGCACTGCTAATTGATTAGCATTGCGTTAAGTTAAGTTAGTATTGGGTGGGGTTAGGTTGGGTTGGGTTAGGTTGGGTTGGGTTGACAAATAAAACACTAACTTAACTTAACTCAACTCAACTCAACTCAACCCAATACTTTACTTAATTGGATTAGTATGATATGAAAATCACTTGCTGACTCCTATTGAGATATGATCATGATTGGTCATACTGACTCACTACTAACTCACTACTAACCCAATTGGTGCTTATCGCTACCGGCCATCTCGCAAAGTATAAATAAACAATCTATCAATACACATATTGCAATCTCATGCCCCGGCCAGGAACAAGTATCTTATTTCAACTAATTAACTATATCTTAACTAAAACACAAACAAACTCGACTAAAACTCAAATAAAACTCAACTCAATTCAATTTCAATTTTGTAAACATTGTAAACTCTTTATTTAAACTTTACTTACCCCAATATCAACTTTGTCCTTATCATCAATAAAATGAGCCTATCCAACTTAATACCAACCCAACTTAACTCAACTCAACACAACCCAACACTAACACCAACACTAACACAATCTTAACTCAACTCAACTTAATACAATTAGAGATGGGCTAATTCAAGAATACTCCGAACATCACTGCAGTACCGTAAGCAGTCCAGAATAATCATACTAGAGAGAAGACTTCGGTCTTTAATCTCACCGTTAAACGGATCAATAGGCAGTTTGTTGTTATAGGGCTCGTATTCACAATCTAGCATAACTACCGAAGACATATCACTTGATACTTTCTTTAAATCCTTCAAGTACTTTCCGTTGATATAGTCACAATCTTGCCGGTACAACATACGACTAAAGTGGCAGCCAGGCACTTCCTCTTCCAAACGCATGGCCATTTCAACTGCCACCACTTTCTCCATGGTTGTATACAACACCACTTCATACCATTCAGAAACACTAGCAAAGAATTCCCGAATCATCGGTCGCAAAGTAACAAAATGAGTGCAGCGCTGGCCCCCATCCATATACTGCACAAAGAAGTCATACCGCTTCTCTGGTCGCTCAATGGTTGAATAGAACAAAACACCTTCTAAGTCCAGCACCAAAAACTTACGCTGGGCTATATTCGCGTCATAATTAGTAAAGAAACATCTAATGGCCAAAGAACTAATGTACTTGCCAATATTAGTGGCGGTTGCCAAGGTACTCCAAAACGTATCGGTTTGAGTTAGCATGGGGTTAGGTGATCTTTGGCGATAGAAGGATGGCGTCATATATTTTCTTGTTTTTTGCGATCTTTAATGAAGCTCTTCCTTGTGTTTGTCTTGTCTTTAGTTTTAGTGCGTAGTAAGTTGCTCTTACCAATCAGCGATATTGGGACTCCGTTTGTTTTCAAAAGACCGATTATAGCCAACCAGATCTGCAAAGGATCCTTTAAACTCTCCACACCTACCGAAGGATCCCTGGACGTGACTATCTTTTCTGAAGAGGGCAAGCGAGTTTTCTACAAAAGAGGCTTAAAGTCGCAAGAGACCGTTGATTTCTCTTTCAACACCACCGAGCCACAAACCTTCCAAGTCCAGATTGAGCAAGGCGACCCAGTGCCCGAAAAGACAGTTTTAGTGGAGTATGAGATTACCTCGCAGTTCAATACTTTTAACAAAGCAGTTGCCAAGTCAGAAGTACTAGAGCCTGCTCTCTTGGAAATCTCACGGATTGAAAAGCTGCTTTACGAGCTATCCTTACAAACCTCATTCCGTCAGAAGGAAATCGCCGCCTTTTCCAACAGTATCAATGACATTGTTATTTCCATTCCCTGTATCAACTTCATCATGTTCATAGCTTTTGCTGGTATTTTGGGGTACCAAATGATCTCATTCAAAGACTTCCTCAAGAAGAAGAAGCTCATCTAAATGGACTAGTTTATGTTATGTTATCTTTACTTATGTTTTATTGAGTTGGTAGTGAGTTGGTATTGAGTTAGTAGTGTGTTAATAGTGTGTTGGCATTGTGCTACGTTATTGAGTTTGTAGTGTGTTGGCATTGAGATAGGATAGAACAAGATACCAACCTAATACCAACCCAATACGAGCCTAATACCAACCTAATGGAAATATCAACAACTTAGTGTGTTGGGTTGGGTTAATTGGATTGGTATTGCGAAACCTTTTTGAAACAGCTATCAGTTGAGCTAGTATTGGGTTATATTGGGTTAGGGAATTGCTTTGACATGGATATAGTCTGGTCTACAGTCACTGGAACCCAGCTGCACTGTAAGAAAGAAAGTGTGGCTACTTTTTTGGAAAGACACTCTCTATCCCTGAGTACCCATGCTGTTGTTCAAATTACTTGGTCAGGAACCCGCTTAGTTGGGCAGCGCACTTTAGAACTGGACGGCTTGCTAGGACGGGTCGAAAATGCGAAGACTCTGCGCTATCTTTTAGTCCAGCCCGAGCACCAACTGACCATTTGCTTAAACAGTTATACCCGAGAGTTCTTACTAGCCGATCTCAACCAGCTGACTTTCTCCTGTGCTAAGCAAACACCTATAAGTCAAGTTCTTCGTGACTTGCGCCATTATTTCAGCCCGGACTTGGTCGAATCGCATTTTACCCTCTACACCGTTGAGTCAACCGCATTAGGCCGAACCTTAGTTGAGGTTAAACTCGGCAGTGTAGCAGAGACCTACACCAATTTACAGCTGCAAGCACGAGATCCTTTTCTCCTTGCCCGCACTCGACAGCCGCAATACGTCCAGTCCTTCTACCAACTAGACACCTTCAACAGTTCCCTGCTCTTCGCCACCCAGTACGCTATCTCGCTCTACAGCCACTTCATCCTAGCCCAGAAGAAAGGAGGTCCAGATAAGTACGGCCAGTCCTTAGAAATAACCGAAGACTTACGTGCTTTCAAACAAGTGTTTGGCAAACGCCATTTCCTCGTTATAGAAACCCCAGGCACGCGCTGGACCTTCTACTCTAAATCACGTCCTAATACTGACCAACTCCTTTATGAGATTAAACAAGCTCCGCGTTATAAGCCCCGTGAAATAGAGCCTTCTAAATCAAACAAAATCCAACGCTACTGCCAATCAATTGAAACTCTCCTCGCCAAAAACAATCCTTCCCTCTCTTCCCTACCTCTTTTCTCCCGTATCTTCCCCTCCGAACTGCCTACCGACCAAATGGCCCAAGATCCAGTCCAGCTCCTACACAAGCTAGAATCTTATCTCCAAAGAAGTGTCTGGGACAATGTCAATATTGAGTTTATTCTTTATTTGCTGGTTGCCCAAAACATCCTGCCTATCGATGGCCTTCAGGACGAAGTCCGTCAGTTCAGCACACATCGCAAGCAAATACTCTCCCAATTAAGAGACTTCCTTCACCGCCAACAGTCCAACCGCCATTAATCTTTACCCGATTCCCGGCCGCACAAGTATACCTTATGCAACAACTCTCGCATTCGCAACGATGCCTTTGGATTGTTCCCTGCTTCATAGGCCAGCTCAGCTACAGTTTGATCAATGCCTTGCTTTTTCAGTACTGGTAGTACTTTAGCCCGGAAGAATTCACGGAAGTACGTATCTCCCTGGGCTATAAAGTAGTTCACCAAATAAACAACCTCTTTATCATTTAGCACTGATTTTGAAGCCAGCACTGTACCCATAGCTGCTACGTCGTATTTAGAACCCGGGCCTCTAACCACCCATTCTTCCAAGTCAATCGTATACTGCTTGCAACTCCAGGCCACCACTTGTTTCACCAGCAGCTCAAACTTCTTCTCTCTTCTAATACCAATCTTACTCCATTTCTCTCTAATACTAGCTAGCCAGGCCTTAATAAACACCCAACCGTCTTCCCGTTGGCCGATTTGCTCTAAGACTATCTCAATCCATTCCTCCTGCTGTTCTCGCTTGGGCAAACCCCAATAGGCGTAAACCAGAGACTCTGCTACAGTCTTATAATCACTAGCCGACCCAATTGCGACCTTATCTAACCCCAATAAAGACTCCTTATCTACCACAAACTCTTCAGCGGCAGCAATACGTTTGCACAGTTCGGTTACACTCATAAAATTTTGTCTCCAATCGTGCCATTAGCTACTATCTTCTCCTCTTTCCACCTTCTCCTAGTCCCCACTCCTCTTATCTCATCCTATCCCACCTCATCCTATCCCACCTCATCTCATCTTATCTTATCTCATTTCATTTCATACCATAACAATTCAATACACACACAATCAATCAATCAAAACAAACACCAACCCATTACTATCTGTTGTGTCCAAGCTCGGATAAAGACCTCTCATTGGGTTAGTATTGAGTTAGTATTGAGTTGGTATACGAGTTTGAGTAGCTTCTAGATCTGGTATCGTCTTCTGTAAATCTTTCATGTATGCCATAGAGAGTCCTAAAAAGTCCTTTATCAATCTTCGTCGTATCTTTATGCTCTATTGGCTTGTTTTAGTTTGGTTTGGTTTAGTATTGCGTTGTTTAAAGTAGTAAGGAATAAATATCTACATTATCTGTACTTACTCGTTTAAAAGTAGAGATATATCAAGATTCTCATTAAGATCGACAGGAAATGGTACAGACACCACAATAAGTCTTGTTTATTTATTCATTGCCCAACTTAATCACCACCTATCTTAATCACCACTACTCATATTAATCACCACCCAACTTAATCACCACCCAACTTAACCCATTTAAATCTCCACTAACTCCTCAATCTCTTCCTCAGGGATCTCCTCTATGCTAACTCCAGCGCGTTCGGCCTCACGACAAATCAAGCCGTACAGATCATCTGAGGCCTCCAAGCAACATCCGTGACTCTGGAAAACCGAACCTTCTGGCACAGCTGCTACCACACCCGCCCAGTCAATACTCTCCGAGGCCCGCAGCTTAATCCGGCGTCGTTGCCACCCCAATTGCACGGCCTTCTTAGCTATTTCAGCCACCTGTACTTTTGGTGGTTTGGTTGAAACCGCATGACCGACTTCCTTGAGCAATCCTTCGGCTTGCACCGCATTAATCCTACCCCCAGTAGGCAGTCGCAATCTTTCTTGTAGTCCGGCACACACGGCCTTCCGCAGACTCGCTAATTCAACCGCACGAGCCGCACTATCTCGTCGTGCCGTACCCCCGGCCAAAATTGCCCGTAGTGCGCCTTCACCCGTTACTCCAAACTCCGCCCGGACTTCAGCCGCCCGAGCCACTTCCCCACGGTTAATATCACTGAACACACACTCCGTATGCAAGACTTCCGCCAACGCCAGCCCAGGATTACGCTTATATTCGTACAACTTATTCGGCCGCACGCCCACCTCAAAAACCCGACCGTGTGCCCCCTTATACTGCACTACCGTTACACCAACTAACTCTTTCCGACTCTTTGGCGCAAATATCATAATGAATAAGATTTACTCCTTTCCCCCTTTATCACCCAAGTATCCTCTTACATTCACATAACTTATTCTACTACAGTTTTGCCATATTACATTACATTACTTCACATTACTTCACTCCACATTACTTCACTCCACATTACTTCACTTCACATTACTTCACTTCACACTAACAACCCAATTCAGCCACTCTACATTTCACTATAACATACATGAATACCATCGAAAGTAGGCTTAACTTAACTTATACTAAACTATACTAAACTTATACACAAGCAACCCAAACCAGACTTAACTTAACTTAAACGCAACCCACACTTAACTTAACTTAGCTAAACTATACTTACTTAAACCAAACTATACTAAACCAAACCCACCCCAACCTATACTCACACGCAATCCATACTTAACTTAACTTAACTTAACTTAACCTAATCAATTTATTCCCTGGCTAGGCCTTAGATGGCAAACTCAGCAGCTGCGGCCAAAGCCATCAACTCCCGAACCGTATGGGCAATCTCCTGCTCAACCGTTGACTCAGTTACGTAGCCGGCACCAATCGCCATGACACTCAGTGCATCCACTGAAGTTTGAATCATCGCTTCAACCGCCTCACTCGTTAGGGCTAAATGGGCCACATCAAAGAACTTCCCATTAGAATAAGCATGTAATGCCTTCATCTTGTAGACAAAAGGCGTAATACCTAACAGCGACAATAAAGCAGCTTCAGAATGACCAACTCGTTTACCGTTGTACAAGGCTTGACACCGCGAAAGAATCTCAATCTTACCCTTAGTAATCTTAGTCACTATTCCTAAGGCATGGAAGAAACTAGTCTTCCCCGGGTCTAGCCCCGTAAAGACCGGCTCAATCCATAAGTCGCACTGTGATAAGTCTCCGGGCTTAGCTACTGAATTAACCTTCCGCGCCTCAAAGATATCCTCTAACTCACTTAACGAGCCATTAGTAAAGATAACTCCTACATTGTTCTTAATAACCGACTCAATTCCAGCTAACTCCGGTCGGTTCTCCGCAAACTTTCTTAAGGCCAACTTAATAGTCGTGTTCTTCCCCATAAGGAAGTCTCCCTTACCAAGTATATCGTGTCTAATTAGTTGTATTTGATTTGATGACATTGACGTCATATCAACTACTAAGAACTTAGAATACTTTCCAAAGTATTCCTGCGTTCTATTAAATGAGTTAATTTTACGGGCTAATTTTGGGGTGGCTGTCCGCTGTTCTATTTGGATCATTAGTTAGAGGCAGGGGCAAAAGAAAAAAAGGGGGGTGGCTTAGTCTTTAATTATTTATAAGCCTACTTAGACTGGCCAAACAAAAGAGTAATGGATCCACCGGTGGTTAGTATAAGTACGGAAAGGTTTATGCGGATTTGGGAGGTATTTCAAGAGGGGGCTAATTGTATTGCTAATGGGCAGCCATGTAGTGGTATGGGTATGTATACGGCTGTCTTTCAGATTGTAGCGAGTGGGGAGGCGGCTTTTGCGGTGCGGTTGCATTGGTGTATAGGCAAGTACTTCTTTGCCTTGGCGGTTAAGCTTAGGGCGGGGATTGAAGGTAGGGAGTGGGTTAAGGCGTATGCGGAAGCATTTGTGCGCTATGAGCAGGTGGTGGAGTTAATTGATGGAGTATGTGGGCACTTGAATGCGGCTGTACGGGAGAATAGGGAGTGTAGACGGGTGCGGGAGTTAGGGTATGTTATTTGGGAGCGGATTGTGTTGCGGCAGAGGTACGAGCAGAACTTGCCGGCTTTGCATGAATCTTTGCCCGATTATCGTGAGTGGGTGGAAGTTTGTTTGCGGTCTTTGCGGAAGATAGTGACTAATAATGGTGACGTATTGGAGTACTACCGGAACAATTATGAGACTGGGCTGGTGAATCGGGCGGTGGCTGAGTTTAGGCGGCGAGTGGGAGCTTATACGGGTAAGGATATCTTTGGGCATTTACAGCGGTGTAGTGTGGCCATTAGGAGTATAGTAGCGGAGTACCGGGAGTTGTTCTTGCCGGTTTCAGTGAGTTTGTTGGAGACGGAGTTGGAGAAAGCTATTTTTACTGGGAAGGTAAGTGAGTTACGGGCGGAGATTGATCGGGTGCTGCAAGGGAAAGATCGGGAGGAGATTGCGGCTTTATGCCGGGCGGTCGAACCTTTGGAGAAACAGATTTTAGCGGTTTTCCTGGATAGTGCTCGGGTCTTTGCTCGGGCGCAATGGCCGGTTGAGTTTGACTGTGCGGCGATTGCCCGGGTGTATTCTGAGACGGCGGAGTTACTGGCGCCGACTGGGTCTCTGAAAATACTGGGGATTTTAGAGGAGACTTTGGCCCAACGCCTGGACCGGGCTGGAGTAGGATTGTTGCTTTCGGAGTACTTGGCCGTGGTAATTAGTCGGGGGAGACGGGTGGAGGTAGAATTGTTTGCTGTGCTGCTACGGTGTATTCCGGCGGGTGAGGAGAAAAGTATCTTTTACCAGTCGTATATGAAGAAGCTGATGGATCGGTTGTTGCACTTACGGTTTGATCCGATGATGGAACGGGCGGCGGTTGAAGCTTTACAACTGCCTTGGGCTTTACGACGGAAAGTTGGGAAGATCTTTGATGATATCGTGCGGAGTACTAAGGACAACGAAGTGTTCTGGCAGAGTTACAACCAGACGACAGCGGCATTGCCTAATGAGCCTTTTTTCTATGCGATTGTGACGACAGCATGTATGTGGCCGGTGGCTGAGACGGAAATGCAAGTGGCAGCTATTCCTGGGAGTTTAGTAGAGATGGTGGCTGCCTTTGAGAAGGCTTACTTGGCCCAGCATAAGAGAAGGAAACTTAGTTGGGCTAGTCGGCTTTCTTGGGTGGAGATTGAGCTGAGTACGGATAAGGTTTATACGGTGGAAATGCCGGTGTTGCACTATGCTCTGTTGGAGAAGATAGTGGAGGCTCCGTTGAGTATTGATGATGCAGCGGCTTGGCTAAGTGTGAGTACGATGCAGGCTCGGGCTGTACTAGAAAGCTTGCGCGGTTTAGATATTCTAAGTCGGGTGGATGAGACGTATGCCTTCAATTCGGACTTTAGTTCGGCTCAGACTCAGCTTGTGGTGGCTGTTGATGACGTAGCTGCGAAGCGTATGGGCAATCGGAAGTTGTACTACCAGGCGCTCATTACTAGGCAGTTGAAAGCTCTTGGAAAGTGTGACACGAGTAAGCTGCAAGAGATTATTCAAGCGACCCATACACCGGTCTTTAATTGGAACCCTATGGATTACAATGAAGCTTTTCAAAGTCTACAGGAAAGGGCTTTACTAGAGGTAGAAGGTGATTTAACTCTTTATTTGCCCTAAGCCATCAGTTAGATATAAAACTTCGTATTGTTTCAATGTGTAAGGCGTATATCAAGTACGCAAAAAGTATATCAAGTACGCCAGACGTATACCAACTCAATACGTATACCAACTCAATACGCATACCAATTCAATACGCAGATGTATCAACTAGTAAATAACCCAATTAGTCTACTTTGTTCTATTTTAATCATTGTGCTTACTGTCTAATTTATTTGATATAGGATCGGTGTGGCGTTAGTATTTCGGTAGTACTTAGGTAGTACTTAGGTAGTATTTAGGTAGCATTTGCATGGGTGTTAGTTGGGGGTTAGCTAAAAGTTCTGGAAATAGACATCTTGATCTTCGGTTACCTCGGCGGCTGGAGAAATTGCTGGTGGCTCGCGGGTAAGTAGCAGGTCAAAGTTGTCTTCAATCTTGTCTGAAGGTGTCCATTGGGCTGGAGGTGGTTGGGTCTTTAGTTGGGACCAGTTAATTCCGGCGAAGTAGGGATGTTCTTTGATTTGCTGGGAAGACTCGGCTCCAAGCCTGGTTTTAGGGTTCTTATCTAGTAGACCTTCAATCAGACTCCGTGTAGACTCATTGAGCTGGTCTAGATCTTCAGGCACCTCGCTTTTGATGGCGGCTTGCAACAGACTTTTGGTTTCGCCATGGAAAGGTGCTTTGTGCATAACGAGTTCGTAAGCAATGACACCAAGACCCCACCAATCAACTACTTTGGTGTACTTTCCTTTAATGACCTCCGGGGCCACGTAGGCTAGAGTTCCACAAAAAGTATGGGCTACACCGTGCTGGGCTCCAATACTAACCAGCCCAAAATCACCGATCTTAATACGCCCGTTTGAGGTGAAGTAAATGTTATCTAGCTTGAGGTCTCGATAAATAATGTTGTTTGAGTGCAGCGACTCAACTCCCAATAGAATTTGGGCCAAAATCATTTGAATCTCTTCGGGTGGAATTTCGCGGGACTGGGTTTGGAAATACAGATCGCCTCCAGCGGCAAACTCGGTTGCAAAGAAAACATGTGTGCTTGTTTGAAAAGAGCCAAGAATTTCGAGTAGATACGGGTTCTTGGATGCTTTGGCAATTTCCAGGGCTCTTCTTTCAATTTCCATATACTCTCCGCAGTTCTTATCAATCGCAGTCTTCTTTTTGATTGATTTCAAAGCCACGGTTTGGTCTTTCCAGCGGCACAGGAAGACCTTACCAAAGGTACCTCGACCGATTAGTGAAACCATTTCAAACTCATCAAGAGTAATCCCGGAGGTATCTTCTTTCTTCTTTGGGGCGGGGTGGTAAGCTACCAGTTCAGTGCGCAGTTCATCAGTAATACCGCAGGAGCAGAAGATCATTGGCCGGCATTCAATGTGGTACACATGTTCACAGGCACTGCACATTAAGCCCAGAGCCAGAATACTAAGCCGCTCCCCGCAGTGAGAGCACCAGGACATGCCAAGTATTTTGGTTTTGTTAAGGGAGTGCTCAATGCTGTACTTCTTGGTCGGCGGCCGGTCAGCTGGATCTGTCCCTGCGGTCTCAACATCGAACTTTTCAGGGTGCTGTGTACGGTCGGCTGTTTCGGTGCCAGTTTCAGGCTTCTCGCGAATGTCAATGGCGGCAACAATCATTTTGAGTCGCTCAATGCGTATTTGGTTGATCTGCTCTTCTACCTTGTTCTTTTCTTCCTCTTCCTCGCGGACCCGTAGGTACTCTACACAAAGAAAGAAGATCTTCCGAGCACATCCCAGATGACAAGTAAACTTGCAGTTGTCGCAGCGATAGTACACCGGATCAACCTTGCTGTTGTTGCTGCACACACCGCAGTAGTAGTACTCTTTATCGTCAATTAGACGCATTACATGCCCAAAGGCCCGCTGTGTAATCAAATCAACGTTTCCTCTCTGCAGCCCATGACTTTCCAGCACACACTGTCCAAAGGAAAGCGATAGTGTGCTAGTGTCAGAAAACGAGTAGTAGAAAGCCCGCTCGCCCTTATCTTCGGCCACAACAAGATCTTCAATCGGAAAGTATAGCCATCCAATCACGACGTCACTATCTGAGATCAGCAAAATATCTATCTTTTGTGCTTGATTAAACTGTAGCTCCATAGCCTTGCAGTTAGCAATATCCGCTTCAGTTAGCTTAGCAAAGAGCACATCCTCAACATAAACATGCACGGCCACGTTTTTATAGAGGGGGTTCTTGTTGTTAAGATTAGTAAAAGTCAGGTACGCCTTTCCGGTTCTTTTCTTGCTATTCTCAGGAGCCGAGTCGTTGCGGCGCTCTAAAATACTCTTATCAGATTCAAAAACTCGGCACTTTACCCCGGCATCGTCTGCCATGCGTCGGATCTTAGTTAGCTCCGATTGCACAAAGTAAATCTTGCGTTGCGTATACTCAATTCTTTCTTTGATTGCCGTTGAGCTTTCAGCCTGCATGATAATATTGTACCCTCGCAGCAGGTCCTTCTCTTTCTTCAGAACACTAGCTAGGATTTCCATGCGACTTGTTCCGCGACTCTCCCAGCACTCCAGAATAGTAGCTGGCTTTGCCTCCGCTCCCGAGAGAAAAGGATTCGCGTCCCGAAGTCTCTCGATCTGAAAACGTGCTGCTTCTGCCTCGGTCTCGGACAAGCTCGGGAGCATCTGCATGAGCTTTTCTATCATGTTGACGGTGCTACTCTTCTTCTCTTCCATCCTCACCCAATACTAAACCCAATATTTGTTTGTTTCAAATGGGAGTTTCATCGCGCATTGGGAGAGCTGCGGCCCATCTGAAGAACGCGATTGATAACTGGGAGCGAAAGCCGCTCTCAGGCGAAGCAACACGAGCTCTGGTAGAAGAAGCCATTCGCTCGCTGCAAGAAATCTCTACCCAACACCCGGCCCCGAAAAAGAATCCTAGCAACCACTCGATTCCTACACCTACACCCAATCTCCAGATTTATTCTATGATCATTGAGTACCTGATCAATAATGGCGCCATTGAAAGTGCCAAAACACTTATTGAGGAGTTGCCAGAGTCAACTGGCCTGGAGACCGAGAACGACTCGATTTCTCTGTACAAAATCTACTCGCCTTGGCAGGAAGAGCTTGGTCTGTCATCAGAAGAGAGCCTCTACAGACAAGCCAACTACCAACAAGAACTCGCTGAAATCCAGCAAGAGGGCCGCGAGGCTCTGCAGCGCAGCACAGATATAGCCCAAAAGAGAACGCCCTATCTTGACCGCCTATACCAACCGATCAGAATGTACTTAGCTAGAAAGAGCCAACTGGCGTCGGACGAAGATAAGGAAAAGCTGCTGCAAAAAGTCATTGTTGAAATTCGATCGGGGTTTATATTTGAAGGCAGTTCTCTCATTTGCCGGGAAGAGGAGAATACCTTCCTCTTTTCACGGCACTCACAAGAGTACCAAACGGTCCTTCACTTTCTCTCTCTGCTAGTAACTCCCTTACACCACTCCGAAGTCAGCCGACGCCACCAGAAGTCCTTCTTTACTAAGACCGGCAAGCGCCACTTGCCCCTCGAAATTCTCTACCATGTCGGCAAGAAGATGGAAAGCATCAACATAAATCCCTACGACACCGAAACAGAGCCCATTGAATCGGCTGCACCTGCTTTGCTCTCCTTCCACTCCTCCTTTGTCTGCCCTGTTCTGCGCAGTGAGTGCACCATTGACAACTTTCCTTGCATACTAACTTGTGGGCATGTTATCTCCACCCGGGCATTGAAAAAGATCGCTCTCTTCAAGGGCTCACCATTCAAGTGTCCGTACTGCCCCCGTGACATTCATTTGAAAGAAGTCTTCCGATTAACACTTCCTATTTAGGCAACCAAATGGGGCGGTATCTGGTGAGAATCTGATGGGGATCTGGTGGTGATCTGATATATTGTAATGGTATCTTATAATAGTATCTTGTAACGAATAAAGACTAAAGAATTAGTTGGTTGTGGTGTCAAATATAACTTCTTATTGGATGAGACTTGAATGAGACTTGAATGAAAGCGGGTGATTTACAAATCACGCCCAACTCAATGTAATGGAAAATTTGGACCCAAACTAACTCCGCGTGATGAAAAGTCACCACTTAGCTTACACACATCAACATTATCATCTAATTACTTTAGACTCGGCCAATTACTGCCATTTTAATCATAATCACACTCAAATGTAATAGCAACTTAGTATTAATTTAATAGGTTTATTAATTTCCATCAACGTCTATATATAGATAAGCCAAATTTTGCTGTTTTATGAGTGGGACATCTACTTGGATCCAATTTAACAATTATACTCGAGAAACCAACACTGGTGTTAAAATACTCGAGAATGTCTCCTTCTCTATTCCTAAAAACAAAACAGTCCTTCTAATTGGTCTTAGTGGTGACGGAAAGACAACATTAATGAATGCAATCTACGGACACTGCGATTCTGCCTATCGAACGTATGGGAGTGTGCTGACACCAGCAAAGGACGGCGAGCAAATGGTCCCAAGAAATGTATCCGAGTGGTTTAAAGATGTAAGTTTCTGCCGACAGGACTTGTGGAAGTACGGCAAGATTTCCATGCACACTATTCTCTGCTCAATTGCGGCTTGCTACGGAATATGTCGCAAGGAGGTTGACTCGTTGATTGCGGAGTTCGACTTAGTGCGGCAGAGGAATGTTTCTTTTGATAATCTTTCAGGAGGTCAACAAAAGCGAGTCTTAGTTATTGCTGGGTTGTTGTCCAAGAAGTCTCTATCTATTTGGGACGAGCCCTTATCTGGACTTGATTCTGTTATTGCTATTAAAACACTATCCACTATTAAAGGTGCATGTGATACTTCTATTATGTCTGTTCACCAACTCTCAGAGGAGATTATCAAGTATTTCGACTACACCCTCATTATGTACAAGAATACTGTGATCTATAGCGGGCCCATTGACCAAATCGTGTCGTACTTTACCCAGCGGGGATTGGTTTTGAAGAGTGAAATGTTCTACATCACTTATCTCCTGCACTTGTTCGCTAATAAGGAAGAAAGTGAGCAGGACCGGGCGAACATTGTGCAACTACAGAGCATCTATCAAGGGATAGTTGGTCAACCTCAAGGCAGACAAACTCCCGGGAACATCGCGTGGGTGCCTTTTGGTGCACTGCGCTGGACAAACGTGAAGGAGATCTTCTGTCGTTCCCTCTATTTCTCCAAGACCTTCAAACTCCGGCCCTTATTAACCGAATTATTTGTCTATCTCTTCCTTACTGTCTTATTCCTATTGTTAAACAGGAGCGGAGCACTGTTTGCGGTCCATGGCAAGACTGCCGCTGAGGCAGACAGGCACGTTGGCCGGTTTATCAGTGAACTCGCCGACCAGTTGGTCCCGAATTCAGGTGCCACCGAATCCCAAGCCATTAATCGGTTTGTTCTGTGTGGTTACTTATCTTTGTTCCTTAGATTGTCAGTTGTGTTTAGTTTAGCCGGCTTTGTATCCAGTTGCTGTACCTTGAACAAGGACTTTACTCGAATCTTGCGTACAAACATCACTGATGGACAGTTTACCACTCTGGAGTTCATTATGACGGTCTTAATGGAAATCATAGTTCGTAAAGTGCTGATGATGTTTGCTGCTTTGGTTACTTTTTTCCTATACTGCTCAACCCAGACAGTCGATGCTCGTGTGTTTGCTATCTCGGAAATCTCGCGGGGCGTCTTTATCTTTGGCCTTTTCCTGCTCTCAGTACTAGGTGGATTGGTTCAGCTTGCCATTATTCTCTTACCAATAATGAAAATGATCCGCTCCTTTATTGGCACGAGTTACCTATTCTCTTGTGTTATCCTGATTGACTTAGTTTGGTACAATTTAGCCCACTACAGTAGCACTATCGCATCTGATTCTTCAGGATATTACACCGTGAACAGCATGGCTGGCATGCTCATAGATGCCTATCAAGACAAGAACTCGACAACACCAGATAAGATCAACACCATTACTAGGACGACTTACTATATAGCACTAGGGCTCCACAAAATCTACATCTTCTCTCCCTTTGTCTTCTTTAAGGAATGGCTCGTTAAACTCTATCTCTACAACGGCAAGCTACCCTACGGCGGCGAGTTCAAAGGAGGCAATTCTCTTGTAATCGAGGAGCTAAACATGGCAAAGAAGCTCATTGAAGATTCCGAACGTAATGGCCAGAAGATCTCACTGCCCCCCGCACTAGACCCTCGCAATCTTCTTAAACAAATGTCTTCCTCCGTCATCAAGATGCCCGCTCACGAACTTAGTGATTTCAAAACCTTAATTCCACCAGTCACAGTATTCACCCTTTTCAAAACATTCCTTATCTACTGGTGCCCAATTATAATCATCTGCACCCTCCTTACGGCTTACAAATACCGTTGCATGCAGCCCAAACTACGTTCTTAAGAATAAACTACAACTTAAGCATCTTAAAGTCTCGTATCTATTTTTTGCTTAATCGCAATCAACTATTAATACAATACCATCCCAATTCATCACATCCCATCCCACCCCAATACTAACTCCATCCCATTCAAAACCTAACCCATTCAAAACCTAACCCAAATACCAACTCAATCAAAACCTAACCCAATACTCAAACTAACTTCTTTATTATACATGGCAGTGCGATCCCAACAAGAATGCTTAGCAACTCCTGGGCAGACCGCACATATCGCACTCTGCGGCATTGCCTGTATTCTGAAACGTACAGGCCTGACACCCCCAGCCACTGGCAAGCTTACAATCCTTAGCCAGATCAACCAGTCCTGGATACTTTCCTTCTAATACGTCCTGATTAAAAGCAGCGCCATCCCGAGCCAGTACAGCTGCTGCCAAGCCATCCGGTAACAGTTCTAAGTCCGCTAGTTCTAATAAGAGTCCCAGATCTGCAAAGGCTCCTAAACTAAGCCCCTGGACCGACTCTTCAGTTAAGCGCTTCTGCAAGTGCTTCTTTACTCCACTTAATCCGCTACCCCGCTTAAACCCAGTCATTCCCGAAGGCACGGCAAATAATCCCTCGCCGGCCGTTAGTCCGTGGGTTGGCCGCACCACCAAGTACTCAACTGGAATCTCATGACCGTGTTTAGTTCCCTCCTTACCCGTCCAAACAGCTGTGGCTGGTGCCACTTTAACTTCGCGCGGATTAGCAGCTGCAAACAACAAACCGTCCTGTAATAACTCAATCGCTAAGTTCGTCCCACAGATCTCAATTGTTTCAGAAGAGGTCTCCGTACCCGCAATCACTAGAGTTACAAAACGCGATCCTTTATTCTGACCAGATACTATATAAGGAAACCGGCGCTGCATCTCTGCCACAAAAAGGACCTCCATCGAACTAACAAACAACTGCGGCTCAGGCAAGATCCGGGTATACGCCATACCGACTATCTCCATACCCAGCATATCTAGTACTTTCTTTAAACTCTCGTCTGTGCCTTGCAACGTCTTATCCGCTGGATTAAGCACTACTCCGTTGATCAGACCCGTATGCTCAACCGGTAGAGCAGCAAAGACTTCAGCCTTCACCCCCTTACTTACGGCCGCATACTCACTGTACCGCCCAACTAGTAAATAAACCGTTTGGCCGCCAGTAGCTCTTCTTTCATGAATTAGCCGCTCTAAAATCGAGCGGTCATCAATCTCAATATGATCAACAGGTCGGAACGTTTGTCGGCCCAAAACAATCTCCTTAGGCAGGCACAAGTGGCACCGCCCAGAAGCAGGATGGTTGCGACAAGCCGGAGGCAAGTGACTTTCTAAAACTAGTTCCTTGCCTTGACTGGCCAAGTACTCTTCGTACGCGCCTTGTGAAATAAACCGCCGCTTATCAAAAGAAGAAGAAAGCCAAGAATCCTCAGGGGCACAGTCAGCACACATTCCACTAGGACCGTGTCGACACTCTCGCTTGCCTCCCGTGTTGCCCGTACTTGGCGAATCTTCGGCCTTATCAACTCGGACTACGTCATAAGTGGCTTGCAGCATATCACCATTACCAATCCCATTGGCCAGTAAAGTTCCGCTATTTAACTCGGCACCGGCCAAAACCAGCCGCGTACAGATACTTTTGGTGCGTTCATTGATTATCTCCTTCAAGCGCTCAATTGTCGAATTCTCTTCAATTTCAATACTCATTATCCTATCGCGGCCTTGAATACGTACAATCATAAAAAATAGCCAAACAAAGTTATTTATGCTTTCGGGTAGTTTGTGCCTCTAATTTGGCGATCATGGCATTCCAACGATCTTCTCGATTGCTGGCTCTTGCCTCCAAATCTTGTGCTAGTTTAGCTGCCATTTCGGCTTCTTTTTGTCGCTTTTCTTGTCGCTTTTTGTTAGTTAGGAGGTGGCGGCGATAGGCAGGATATTGAGGTAGAGTTCCGGCTGTGATTAGTGGGTCTAAAATAGCTCGGTATCTTGGTTCTTGTTCGTCTTCACCTAGGAGCATATGGTCAACTATTTTGGCTAAACTACCTTTATATTTTCGATAAAGACTGATTATCTCTTCTTGTTCTTCTGAGGAACCTTCATAAATATGTCTGAAACGGTCGAACATGTTCTTGGTTATGGGATTAGATTGATCTTTGTCCTTTTGGCGCATAAGATCGTAGGCTTGATTAAGACGCATAAAGCCTTCTTCCGAACCACCTGGTCTATCAGGGTGGCATTTCATAGCGAGTCGTCTAAAACACTTCTTGATTTCTTCTGGCGAGGCATCTACTGAGCAGCCCAGAACTTCTGCGGCTTCTTTGGTCTTCATTGGAAAATTTGTCACTTCCATTGGCTTACATCACGGCTATCTCTTGAAATAAGTTAAGTTAGATTGTGTTTGGTGTGTTGTGTTTAGTATTGTGTTGGGTTGTGTTGAGTTGTGTTTGGTGTGGGGTTGAGTTGACTTGTGTTGAGTTGACTTGTGTTTAGTATTGAATTGAGTTGTGTTTGGTTTGGTATTGACTGTGGAGATGGCAACTATTTAGATGTTTACTAGCTAGATGTTCGCAGTTGAGATATGTTAGCATATGCTAGTAGTAAGTTAATATATGTAGTAAGTTAATATATGTAGTAAGTTAATATGTGTAGTAAGTTGGTATGTGTAATAAGTTAGTATATGTAGTACGTTAGCATGTGTAGTAAGTTAATCTATATAGTAAGCTAGTATGTGTAGTAAGTTAGCATGTGTAGTAGGTTATGGGATAAGTTACGCACTCAAACATACACCAGATTTATTAACATTTAGTGTGGCCTTTACTGGCCTCTTGGCAATCTTCTCCTTGCTCCTGGCCTGCCTCATCTTCTGTCCAGCCATAGAGAGGCACAAAGCTCTCTAGAATGCCACAGTCCTCATACAAATTAGGGAAGATCCAGAAGTTCTGGCCAGTTGCAGCCTTAATTACCAAATACACAATCAATCGAACTATCGAAATACTAATTAGTAGAATAAAGAGTCCAAATATAAGATAGAACAAGTACCCGGTTCCCATCTTAATGCTTCTCGGCCAGATTGGGAAGAGGGCCATAATGAGAGCGCCTACTAAAATAGCTACACTTATGCCTATGGTGTAGGCACGAGATCCGTCTACTAGCCAGATATACTCGTGGTTGATGTTGAAGCTGTACCCGATATCCAAGGTGTACTGGTCTCCTAGCTGTTGCACACGCGATATGTAGTGGTTCTCAAGTAAGGTCTCCATAACTAGCTTGGCTTCCGTACTGACTAAACCTTGTTGATTCATTAAGTACTTTAAAGCATCGGTGCCTTTAAAAACCCGAATGCGCTTAATTCGGTTAAGAATCGCGTCGACTGTTTCGATGTTCCGCAAATGCTTCTCGGCCTCTTTTACGCTAAAGTGCTCTTTGAAAGTGTGTTGAGTGTCGGACATTATTTGTTTGCCAAAAGAAAGATTAAATATGGAGGCCTTCAAGAAACAAGCGTTTTGTCGACGGATCTTAACTTGCCTTGGTCGTATCAACCGCTCTAAGATGCATCAGGCTGATTTGGAATCGACACTTTCAGAGATCAATCGTTTGATTACGCAGCTGGAGAAGTACGAGTCGGGGCCTTGCTTTAAGCGCGAAAAGCTAGATAAGAACCAGTATCGAGTGGCTGGCAGTGTCTTTGAAGTGGTGGATGGCAAAGTACGCGTAATAAGTACTGACCTAATTGGCCTGGAAGCTTACCTAAACTTAGAGACAACTACGTTGCCCGATGACCCTCTGGATTATCTGGAGCGGGTCCACCAGAACAATCTTTGTTTCAACTGTTTAAGACGCTGCTCGCCTTGTGACCTAACTGTACCTTTTGTGGAAGTGCCGGCGGGAAACAAGACTGTGTTCTATCATATTCAGTGCTTTGAAGAAGTAAAACGCCGCGAGCTTTGTTGATTGTTTGTTATGGGGTTTATTCTTTCAAGGTTATACCGAGGGCCGACCTTTGCTATTCTGGTGCTGAAGCCCTTTCGGGCTAAGCGGTACACCGTAGTGGATGAGTTTCTGAGTTTAGTGCTGAAGGGGCATAAGGTGCTAATTAGACACCAAAGCGAGTATCTGACCTACCACAAGATATCGTTCATGGGTCGAAACATTTCGGTCTTGGAAATGCACGATGAAGAGAAGGCTGATCTCTTCTGGGACTGCATCCAGAACATGAATGCTGTGGCATACTTTATTGGGTGTGTTGAAGAGGAGAACTGGGAGCAGGTGCTGAGTAATATCGAGAGCATTAAGAACACCCACGAATCGGCTCCGCTGCTCTTAATAGTAGTTAGAATTGGGCTGGAGGAGTCTCGGTATGTGACTTTTAAACGGCAGATCAAGAAGGTGTTGGAAGAACGAAGCTACAAAATTGTTGATGGCGCACGGCAAGTCAACGAAGAATTGGCCCCAAGCAAAGAGACAATTTGCCAAGGCTTATCATGGGTTCTTTTGCAGAAGTAAGCCCAACAACCATAAGTTGATGCTAGGTTGAGATACGAGTGGGTTAGTATTGTGTTGAGTGTGGTTGGCATTGGGTTGGGTGTGATTGGTATTGGGTTGGGTGTGATTAGTGTTGAGTTAGGTGTGATTGGTACTGGATATGGGTGTGTGTGATTAGGCCTATTGGGTTAGATATTGGGTTGTGCTAGCCGGATATTAAGCCGTGGGCGAAATGGGATAAGAGGATGCGTTATGGATAGCGTTAGTTTTTGGTGAATAAATGAATAGTTTTGGTATCTAAAATGAAGTTGGGTTAGTATTGGGTTGGGTTATGTTATGTTAACTTGGCACTAGTCTAGTACTAACTTAGTACTACCCTAATATAACTTAACTTAGCCTAACTTAACCTAACTTGATATAGTCTTTTATTTCATATCTACTCGATAGGCAATCACGTACCCTGTGGGACTGTCCTGGTTGAGGGGAATGAAGACGTTTGTGTTGCGAGGACATAAGTACATTTGCTCGCGCTGAAGTGATACCATAGGCTCGCCTTCTTCGCTCACTAAGATTACATCGCCATCAAATAATGAAATAATCACAAGCGCCCCTTCTGAGTCGTTAAAGGGGTCATTTAGCAAAAGATAGCCCATTTCTGGAATCTTAATGCACATACTATCCAGGACATGACTATTCTCTAGAATCCAAGGAAGTAGGATTCTTGTCTTTTCCTGGTCATTGCATTCATCTACCTCTAAAACTCGTCCTGAGAGCAGGTTCAACCGAGGCTTCCAAGAAAATTCGGATAAAGTCTTTGCCAGGGCCTCTCCCATGGCTTCATCTAAACCCACCTGGACTATCTCTTCTGGTACTTCGGTTATTTTGGTGTCGGCATTGCTAAACTGGATGAAGTGCGCAAGATTGGGCTGGTAAGGAGGTATACAGCTCATAGGCGCATGCTCTTTAGAGCGCAACCAGCCTGTTAAGGCCATTCGCACTCCGTCGGCACTCTGCACTTCGTGGTATGACTTATCAGAAACTTCAAAAATCACCATGCGGTTGGTCTTTGGCGCCACGGCTTTGGCCAAACTAATGCCATCGTTGTGGAACAGAGCTAGCTCTCCATTTGTTGATCCGCCGCTTCTAGCCGGAGTATTCAAGTAAAAGGAGAAGGCTAGCACACGGTCATCAACACAGTCATCATGGGGCAGCAAGTAATCACCCTTTTCGTAGTAAGACCCAAATAGATCCATTTCGGGGTGTGCAACGGCTTTTCCAATTTTGGCTAAATCAAAAGCCATGGCTGACTTCACCTTCTCTAGAAACTCAGCATAGTCCTTCTTTTTGTTCAGCTCTTCAGTCTGATAGAAGTGAAACAAATCAGTATGTTTTTCAAAATACTCGGCGCCATCATGCTTTTCAAGCAATCTAGCCAGTACGTCTGGCGGGAGAAAGTCGTCAATAACGCGATGGTAATAAGGGGTACGAAAAACCGCTCCTTGGAGTAGACTGAGCCCGGTTTCAGTCGACATAAAATACAGGGGCACAAATAATTGGCGCAATTCAGGGGATCTACACGGGGCAAAAGTATAAATAGCAAGCGTGTGTTTCAGATCAACATGCCGATTCAAGGAGGAGAATTGAATTACAACAAAAACGACAAGAAGCCATCTGATGATCCCAAGAGCCTAGCTGACAAGGCCAAGGAAGCCGTTGAAAACAAAGCCAAGTCCACCACTGGCACTACTGATGCTACTAACAAATCAACTACTGATGCGACCAAATCAACCACTACTGCTGGTGATGCTACTAAATCAACCACTGCTGCTAGTGATGCTACTAAGTCTACCATTGGCGATGCCGCTAAATCAACTACTACTGCTGCTGGTGATGCTGCTAAGTCTACTATTGGCGATGCGGCTAAATCCAGTGCCACTGGCACGGCTAAGTCGGCTGTTACTGATGCGGCTAAAAGTGCTACAACCACCGGCGCCGGTGCTAATGCTAGTGCCAATGCGGCCAAAGCTGGTCCCAAGCCTGCCACTGGTGCTACCGGTGCTGCTGGCACTACTGCATCTGATGCTAAGTCAGCAGCCACTAAAGGCCCTGCGGATAGCAAACCCACTACACAGCCGGGTGCCCCTAACAAGGAGACCGGTGCTGCCCCGGGCGCTGCCCCTAAACCAGGGAATCTTCCCAACCCCCCTAAGCCCCAGGAGGATAAGCCCCTGCCGCCCAAAACTACAGCTAACCCACCGGCTGGAAATGTCCCATCTAGCAAAATAACCAACAATAGTGATGAGTCCAAGCCTACCAGGCCGCCCATCACTTCAGCGGCTCCTAAGCCAACTCAAGAGCCCGTTAACAAGCCACAAGGGCCATCAGCTGGTCAAGCTACATCCGGCGCATCAAATGCTGCCGCTGAAGAAAGTGAGCCTAATATTATCGTTCGGTTCTTCCGCTCAATCAAAAACGCCATCACGCAGTTCTGCTGCCAAACAGAAGATTCGGTTAGACACATCGCTTAATAAACTCTTTGGGTTAACATCTTACTATTACTTTATTGAATTGGGTTAAGTTAATTTGGCACTTTAGCTGTTCATATCAATGGCACAGTCGTTTGTTATTGAGTTGGTATTATGTTGAGTTGGTATTATGTTGTGTTAGTATTTGAGTTCGTGTTGAGTTAGTATTTGGGTTCGTGCTGCCAACTCACTACTAACCCACTATTAACTCAACTCAACTTAATACAATACCAACTCAATGTCTTATTTTAACTTATCCTATCTCACTCCACCTTATCCCATCTCAATTCGTTGGCAATTTTTAAGCCGATGACTCACATCAACACATCCGATGCGCTCATTACGCCCCCAGCAGCAGGATTTATTGGCTCTTTTCAGCTATTATTCCGAGCTCTAATTCACGTTATAACTCACTTTCAACGTAAGACGAAACACAAATCTGTCTATTTATTTCCCGCCTTTTTCTTCCCAATGACACCTCCACAATCCAACGACTCTAACCCAACGCCTCAAAGCGAGTTCTATTCCTTCACTGGAACTAACATCAAAAACGAACCTATTGCTTTCTCGCAATTCAAAGACAAGGTTTGCATCCTAGTTAATACAGCTTGCAATTGTAAGCTAGCTAAAAAGAGCTTTGAACAGTTACGCCGAGTTCTTAAGGAATTCCCTGACGTTCACCTTCTTCTCTTCCCCTCCTCATTCAAACGAATGGGTCTTGTGGTTAATCAAGAGTTGGATGACAGCCAACTGATCATTGACCGTCTAACTGCTGAAGAACTCTATAATGACCGTACTACTGTTTTTGCCAAGTGCACCCTTAACGATTCAAAAGGACCAATTGAGTGGTGTGGCAGTAAGAAGACCGGAATCATGGGGACTACCGGGGTTAACTGGAACTTTACTAAGTTTGTGGTTTCAGCAGATGGCCAAGTTCTTGCCCGGCTAGGTCCTAACGCCGATTATGAGGCCTTATCTGCCGAGCTTAAGGCAGTTTGCAACCGCAAGTAATTATGTGGCTATTTAGTTGGTCTTGTTATTATGAGCAGATCTGAATTGATGCGTGTCGTTGGCAATCCATGGGGCGATAGGAGTAATAGGGGTAAAAGGAGTGATAGGAGTTTGTGATCAGTTATTGGTCAACGTCATGCATAAATACAGAGATCATTACTCCTGATATGCCCAAAGAAATCACATCCGATAGCGCAAACACATCATCATCCGCGGTAATGACGCCAGAACAGACTGCAACCTCTGACTCAATTGCCGACAAAACATCCTCAATGTTCCTGCGAGCCAAGAACTTTGTTCTGAGCACCAGCGAATCCGTAAGAGAAACCTTCTACAAGACCGTTGATCAAATTGACAAGAAGCAAGAAGAGTCCTCCAACGACTCATCCAAGGACGTGTCTAAGAGTTCTTCCAATGACCCATCATCTTCTAAAGACTCATCCAAGAAGAGTTCTTCTTCCAACGATTCGTCTAAGAATTCATCTTCATTAAGCGACTCCTCCAAGAAGAGTTCTTCTAAGAGCTCATCTAAACCATCCGACTCTTCATCTAACTCCAAATTCAACTCTTCAAGTCGCAAGGAACAATAAACCAACCATTTAGCATTCTAGTAACATATATTAACATTATCTTTGGCTTTATATTACTCCTCACCAATAACGCAATCCAACAACCCAATCTAATAACCCAACTCAAACAACACGTTTATTATCATCGCCCCACCATCCTAGACATGCACCCCCTCCCCGTTCATCTACTTGTTGCACATAATTAATTAAGCCTAGCCAACTACTAATTTTAAGTCCCTCTTATCTTATTTCACTCATCACAACTTAATCTTATCTTATTTCACCCAACCCACCTCACCTCACCTCACCCCAACTTAATCTTAACTTAACTCAATTCAATAACTTCTTATGCGATGGAGTGTTTTGCTATTGTCCCACTGGAATGGCACTGAATGGATCCATATCCCTGCTTCTTCTTTCTTGCAAATCTATGCCCGACTTAGCTCTGAGGACTTAGCCATCGCTATGACCTACTTTGGTGAAGAGGAACCTATTCACGTCTTTTCCTTAGCTGGACTCTCAACCCGGCCCTATAATGGCTCTATTGCCCTTTTCTCTTCCGCAAAACGTATCCAGGTTAAACTCATCAACGCCGAGGCCGCTTTGGATCTACACGCTAAGATTCTCTACATTCGGCGCACGCTCTATTTGGCCCAATTACTGCGGGATATCCGCACACAGCGCAAACGAAGGAGCATCGGGTTCGCCGTTGACCCGTTTGTGGAGAATTAGACCGGCATCTGTGTGCAGATGGTTGTACCCATCACTACCCTGCATATTAGGCTGCTCTGGTTGGCACTGACATCCTAACCAGTCATGAACCACCGAGTCTTCCCGCGCTACAAAGACACTTGATATTTCCGATTCAGCCAGTTCGTCCTCACCTTCACCCTCTAAACTCTTCTGCAGCACCAGTTTCTTGAGTTGCACTAGAAGAACGTGCTCCTCAACCGTGCCCATTAAGAACAGTCGGTGAATAACCACTGGCTGAGTCTGTCCCAGTCGCCAAATTCGAGCCATAGCCTGCAGATCATTCGCTGGGTTCCAGTCTGAGTCCAGAATAATCATTCGCGTGGCCTTAACTAGAGTTAGTCCTTCTGCTCCACACTTAGCTGATAGAATAATCACCTTCTGGCCCGTACTTTGAAATCCAGCTAAAGACCTCTCCCGCTCAATAACTGGCATCTCGCCATGAAAGACCGACAAGTCGTTAGCCTTAATAGGCACATCTCGCTCAGCGGCTAAGCGCAAAACCACAGCTTTAGCCTGGTCCACCGAATCAATAAACCGAGAAATGATCACTAAAGAATGGCCTTGCACGAGAATACTTCGGGCTAAAGAGTAAAAGAGCTGCCACTTGCTTGGTGACCGACTAACCTCTCCACGGAGTTTTTGCAAGGTCTGAATACCCAGCGATCTTTCAAAGGAGTTGTACAGTCTCTCTGTCTCCTCATACTGGTTGTTCCTGACCAGCCAAATCATTTCGTCTTTCTGAGGAAGACTTAAACTAGTCCGCTCAATCTTACGCCTAAGAATAGCTTCCCCGGCAATATTAGATAACTCAGCCGCGCCTTTAGCACTCTCAGCCCGAGCATCCACTAGGGCTAAAAGTGTCTTATACTCCATTAAACTGTTCTGAAATGGCGTTCCAGTTAGTAAGAGGCGTTTGCCCTCTAACTTCTTTAAGGCGGCAATGGCCTGGGAAGTACCTGTTCGCAGTCGATGTGCCTCATCACAGACCACCAATGAGAATTTATGTTTAGTGGCCTCCTTCCAAGTAGCTAGCCGTTCATAGCTCAACAGTAGAATCTCTTCTCGTCCTGAGTACTTCTTTGGATGCTTATCAATCCCATTAAACACACTAAGTAAATTGGCCCACTTTCTTAACTCTCTCTCCCAGACACCTACTAAAGAGCAAGGTGCTACAATCAGTACACTATCACCAACTTTACAAAAGATTCTAACGATCGCAATGGCTTGAAACGTCTTTCCTAAGCCCATTTCATCAGCAAGCACGGCTCCAGCTGAACTGCGCAGCCGCTCAAACATAAAACGCACTCCCTCTATCTGGTAGTCCTTAAAGTACTTCAAATGCACCGGCTCAATGTACGCCCGAGGTGCTAAGACTAAAGAGCCTTCCGGCGCCGGTCCAACTTTAGGTCGACGACGATAAGACCCACTACCTCCCACAGCAACCGGCCGTCCTAGTTCTTTAATCACCGAACTAACTTGGTCTAATAGGGACTCACAACCCGTAGTAGCCCGGTAAAGCGGTCCTTCTAAGACTTCAGAACTCCTAGTTGGATAAACTCGGTCTATCACACGCCCTAACCCACTCAGTAGAATATAAAACGAACCAGCCTTCTTCAGTACTCCACATTCCTTCTCATCTCCATTACTTTTCCTTATATACCAACACTTCATAAAAAACCCCCCAACTCATCTCACCAGACTTTAAATAAAACATAAACCAAATCGTATCCTTTCGAACTAAGGTAGACTTACTATTGACTTTTAGATTATATTTAGATTATGTCTAGATTATGTCTAGATTCTGTTAATATAGAGTTAGTATTGGGTTGGGTGATGTCTAGATTCTGTCTAGATTCTGTTAATATAGAGTTAGGTGATGTTAAGTTGAGTTGAGTTTGTGATACGTTATGGTGTGTTTGAGTTGAGTTGAGATAAGTTGACTCAAGTTGAGTCAACGCAATGTACCACAATTCAAATTGGGTTGCTACTAACCAAATAAACCATTTAGAACACACCACATCACATCACATCACATCACACTACACTACACCAACTCACCTTAACAACTTTAACTTGATAGAGTGTATCGATAACTTGTTTATTGATCGGTAGTTAAATGGAAACTTCCCGGTATACCATTCACTGGCACATCATTTAGCTAGCAGTGGTCATTATCTCGGCAAGACTAGGCCGATTTGGCAAAGATGATTACATGAAGGAAGGCCCCTACAATCCCACCAACAAATTGGCCTACCCAGTACACCCAAACATTCTTCCAGTGCCCTGAGAAAAGCACCGGCGGCAATGTCACGGCCGGATTAAACACACCACCACTTGAGCCCAAACCTAGCAATGCCAAGAATCCTAGCGTGTACCCAATCGCAATTGGCGCAAAGGCCGATCGGTTAGGTGCCTGAGAAGTCACCACTCGCAACTTGTCATTATCCTCCACCTCATCCGGCACTTCAATCTTAACTTGAGTAGGCGGATTGAACACATTAATGGCCACCGAGAAGGCCACATAAACTAAGATGCCCGTCAAAATCATCTCCGTAAGCAAGGCATTCCCAATAGACGCATCATCCGAAATCTTCGATCGCGATATGTCTAGCAGATCCTCAGAACTACCCGGCTTACTCAACAACATGGCCCCACAGCCCAACATCGCTCCAGCACATTGCATGATAATGTACCCGAGCCCCATGAAAATAGGCAGCTTCCCAGTTAGAATCGCGGCCAAGGTAATGGCCGGATTAAAGTGGGCAATAGTTATATCCATGAACGCATAAATGATAGCTACACTAGAAAACCCGACTGTCAAACACACACTTGCTGCCGCCGCCGCCGTATCTTCCGTTATAGTCACTCCAGTCGACACACTGTAAACCGCATAAGTAAAGACCGCTGTACACAACCCTTCAGCTAACAAGGACCGTAGAATTGTCCAGTTGAACGTAAGCGCCATTATTGTTTGTGTGTTTTCTACAGCTTTATGCGTCCCAAGGTAAATAGACAAACAAACTGTGTTTTCGAGCCATCTGCTCACCCATCTTTATTATTGATAGTTTAGGCCTCTTCTTCATCCGAAGCTACTTCTCGAGCAATTTGCCAAACTTGCAGGACATTGTCCTCAGCAACCGTAGCAATTTCCCAGGGCTCATGTGGGTTCCAAGATAAGTCACAGACCGTATCCGTATGCCCACCATGCACAAACAATAACTCCGGCGGTCCATCCTCCGCATCCACGGCCGACTGTTCCTGGCCTACCCGGCTCAAGTCCCAAAGGTTAACCCGGCGATCCGCACTGGACGAAGCCAGAACGTCCTCAAAGTGAGGCGACCATTCAACTTGCAGGACATCCCCAGCATGCCCCACCAGATCATGTAAAGGCATACTGTCATTCCTAATATCCCAAACACCCAAACGTCCACCACTAGATCCCGTCGCCACTAAGTGCTCACTCTCCAACGAAAACTGCGCGCACAAAGTCTTCCCCGTTCCCAACCGCTTCTTAGACCCATCCCTTAAGTCCACAATCACCGCCCCGTCCTTATCTAAGGCCAACGCAGCCATACCACCATCCATCGATAAAGATATGTCATTAATCTCACCACTCTCTTGCAATTGAGCCACCGGCGTAGTTGACTGATCAATCTGGTACGTACAGACCCGGCCATCATACCCCGCCGTCACCAAAGTATTCTCACGCACCGGATGCCACACCAGCCCAAATCCTCCTTCCGTATGGCCTGCCAGCACCATATTAGGCTCAGACTCCCGTGGAAAAGATCCATGCTTAGTATAATCATATAAATGCACCTCCGGCAAGTCAAACCGTACAGCAATTAAATTACTATTACCAGGCATATACCTAGCCCGATTAACTTCACTCGGCATAGGAATCTTCTGTACTATCCTTACTTTAGACTCACCTAAGCCATATCCACCATCCTCTAAAGAGCGCACACTAGAATCACTCACTGTATCCGGTAAAGTCAAAGAAGCAATAACTAAATGCTCATCGGCCTGACTTGAAGTATGAGTTGATAAAAGCACCCGTTGCGTAGTCGTTTCATTCTCCTCATTTCTAATGGCTTCTGGGAACCATTGCACTGTTAATGAAGGCCAAGTTAAACCGTGGGACAATAACATATCGTATAAATAAGGCACGTTCTTGCGCCAGGTATTAAACTCCTCACAGATCACTCGTTCTTCTTCAGAACTTCGTTCTTCACCGATTTGCTCCTCTCCCCGACTGCCATCGCTACTTTGTTCTACTTGCTTTCTTTCCTCTATCTCTCGGTCTCCTTTAGCTAAGTCCATTAGATTGGAGTTCTAGAAAATTCTCGGCTTAAATACCCGGCAATTTTTGCGTATCTCATGGACCGATTAGGATATTACAAGGCATTAGGCGTAGATACTAATGCTTCTACTAAGGATATTAAGACCGCATTTCGTAAATTGGCTTTAAAGTACCATTCCGACGGCGCGGCAGCTGCAAGTGCATTAAAACAGTGTAAAACAGAGGAGGAACGAGCGGCAAAGAAGAAAGAACTAGACCAGAAGTTCTCTGAAATCTCAGCAGCTTATGAAGTTCTTTCTGATGACGAGAAAAGAAGGAAGTATGATAGTGGTGAGGACCAAATGGGCTTTGATATGGGTGGAATGGGCGGAATGGGTGGTTCATTCTTTAACTCATTCTTTGGTGGTGATTTTGGTGGTCAGTCGCGACAGGCCAAAGTGGCTAGTCGAGTAGAGAAAATTCAAATAGGACTCCTGGACGTACTGAAGGGGAAGACTAGTAAGTATAGAATTACTCGTAATGTTGTTTGTCGGCCTTGTGATGGGATAGGATATCCGAATAGCAAGGAGTGTAAGCGGTGCAAGGGAGCGGGTGCTTATTTAGAGGTAGCTAACATGGGTGGAATGTACATGCAGAAGCAAGTAGTCTGCCGGGAATGCCGGGGTGAAGGTGTCTTTACTTCTGGACCGAAATGTACGAGTTGCCATGGGAAAGGACAGTGTGTGGAGCAGAAAGTTATTCAAGTGAATATTCAGAAGGGAGTGGCAACGGGAGAGAAGATTGTCTACCGGGGAATGGGTGATGAAGAAAAAGGAGCCTTACCTGGGGATTTAGTCTTTGTTATTCAAGTTAAGCCGGATGGAAGGTTTAAGCGTATTTCTTTGGAGCACTTGTACACGGAAGTACGTGTACCGGTTGTGCAGTTGTTACGTCGGGATCCGGTTGATTTATTGACTTTAGAAGGGGAGAGTATTAAGGTAGGCTTGCCAGAGATAGCCAATCGGGATTTAGGAGAAGACTTCTTGATGGTTAGTCAGCAGGGTATAGGCGTAGGTTCTGGTGAACGTGGCTGTCTTTTCGTGCGGTTGATTCCCGTCTTTAGTGGCGTAGATAAGAACGCAGAGATAGTTAGTCAGTTGGGAGCAGCGGCTATTCCGGCGCCAGTTAGTGGTACTCCGGCTATTTTCATTAACAAGCAAAGCCTGGAGCAGTACACGGGCGGCGAGGCCGAGGCCCAGTATGAGGAAGAAGGACATAGCCACCAGGGTGCTCAGAGATGCACGACGGTTTAGGCCTAAGCCGAACTAATACGGGCGACTAGGGCCAGGCCATCTATTATTGCAATAAATAGAGAACATTCAGGGCTTATTTAAAGCTTCCTAATTCAATACTAATCGACATCTTGTAAGTTTCGGGGATCATGTAACCTTTATGTAGTGCTGTCATACGACTACTTCAACTTAAGTACTGATAAGCCACTCACTACTTAGTACACACTACTTAGTACTATCAATATCAATACTAACACTAATACTAATACTAACTTGATATGATGTCATACTCACCCTTATTTACTCAATAAATGGTGCCCACAATTATCTCAAGGAGTTCTTTAATAGAGTATGTATTAGTGTGGTGTTCAGAGTATCCACCGCCATTCTTTGCTTGTATTGAGTTGGTATTGGGTTAGCTGCATTGCAGTATGTTTCACAGATGATAAGCACAAGTTAGCATATCTTTATTCTTCATCAGCAGTTCCAGGAACAAGAGGTCAATCAAATTGGGCTAGAGATTGGTAGAGTACAACTCCAAATTATAAATACAGAAAGGAGTTGGCTTAAGAAGATACTAACCCAACACTAACACTTTATTCAATAAATCCTACGAGCATCCGGTTAGTATTAGTATTAGTAGAAGTTAGTATTGGTTGAAAATGGTGTGTAGCCACTCAGTAACATGACAATTAGTTAAGATGGACTTTCCTTATTGGGCACGGCCCTTTCCTATTTGGGTAATTGCCTAATAAGGTAATTTTAAACTATAAATAAACTGATTTTTTTACAGGTAAATGATAATTCAAACGAAATCCATTAAGTTTGTGATAGGTTTATTGATTAGTTTATCTATGCTTATTAACTTTGTGATAGGATCAGTCGAACAGGCCAATGGGAGTGATGTAGAACGAAGCGTGTTCGAGAATAGCTGGGCAGATAATGGAGAGTATGTAGGACGAAGAAACTCCAAGAAGAAGGACAGGTTAGAGAAATCACAACAGAAACAAGCCAAGCAAAAGCAGAGAGAGATGGAAGAAATGCGCAAAGAACAAGAAGAGGAGGCCAGGTTGGAGAAACAAAAGAAGAAGGATAAACGAAGAAAGATGCAAGACAACCAAAAGCGGTTAGCAATAGGGCAATAAAGGTGAGGAAAAAGAAGCTAGTGAATTAAGATGCCTTATTGGATAATTAAGAGGTACTAATTCCTATGACTACCACCTGTCATTCTTATCTTAACAAGAATAAATAATAGCAGCTCTAATATCTATGTAAGTATACTAACTATCGTATCCTGGGGAAGGGATAGTTCCTATGACCAATACAAATTCCATCAGTGGCATGCCTCGATACGGCATAGTCAGCCATTTATTGAATGTAGACAATGATATGACGTCATACTCTACCAACCCACTACCAACCTAATACTAATGTGATCGGCCAGTAAATAAGCGATTTAGTGTGAGGAAGGAGTAGTGGTTGTGTAGCGGCACGACAGTAAGCCTTTAATCAAGTATATATTGTAGTAGAACGTCAAACTAACATTGAGACCAAACAGATTCCTCAGTCATAATATGTCAAAGGCAATATAGCAGAATGAAATAAACATTAGGTTGGTTTGAGGATGTTAATCTAGAATAGCCGCTGAACTGAGACAACTTTGGCAAAGGACCAGCTTTAGATCTTTACAATAAATGCAGCTGATTTTTCACGACAAAGATGATCATTCACTCGAAAGGCTTTGGTTTTATAATGGGTTTAACAGTCGGTGTTTGCTCGCTTGTTAACGCAGTACTTGGATTAGCACACGGAGAAACCACAGGAATGAACGGGCAGAACGGACAGGATGGTCAAGATGGACAAGATGGGCAAGATGGTCAGCATGGAAAAAGTGGTCTATGTGGATGGAATGTTCAAGTTGGATGGTCTGGCATTTCATGGACCCCATTAGATAAGGAACAACTGGAACGACAACAACAGAAGAATAAAGAAAAGCAGGAACAAAGATTACAAAGGGAGATAGAGAGAGCTGAGCAAAGACAGCAAAGGGAGATAGAGAGATCTGAACAAAAACGGCAAAGGGAGATAGAGAAATCTGAGCAAAGACAGCAAAGGGAGATAGAGAAATCTGAGCAAAGACAGCAAAAGGAACAAGAAAGAATTGAACGGGCCAAGCGAAAACTGCATGAAAAGCAGCTAGAGATCAATGCAATGCAAGAGCAACTCTCTAAACAAGAGGAATTGCATGGCAAAAGAGATCAAAACCCAAGGAATTACTAAGCCACAACAATCTCATTACGATAGTTAAACCAGTCGAATTTTGAGATCAATACGAATAAAAAGCATTAGTTCTAATATCTAAGTTGATTGCGAGTAGATTATTGGGTTAGTACATTATACGCCTCTAATACTAAGTACTGTGTTGGTATTGAGGTGGTGTTGTGTTAGTATTGAGGTGTAATTGAGGTGGAATTATGTAGTTCCTAGATCTGGTATAGTCTTCTGTAGGCCTTTCATGTAACTTTTAGAAAGCCTTTGATCAAGCATCGTCGTATATTTATACTCTAATTGGCTTGGTTTGGCATTGGGTTGTTTAAAGTAGTAAGGAATATCTACTAAGTTCTGTTCTCCTGTAATTAACTCGTGTAAAAGTAGAGATAATTTGAGAATCTCATTTAGGATGTGTGGAAGGCTACACCAACCCAATACCAACACAACCCATCTAAATACTAACACCTATCTAAATACTAACCCAATACTAATACCTATCGACATGTCATATTAATCTAATTTTCTCTAAACATAAATTTGCCATATATAGCAATATGACGTCATTCTAATAGAAATTTCAATTCAATACTAGCCAAACCGTTAAATCTTTTTGATTTTGCAAAATCACATGCTCTACCAACTCTTCTTTCTTCTTACTAGCCTAACTGGCTGGTTAGCCTTCTTCTTCCAACGCGAAAAGACTCTACACGGCCGCAATTTAGCTAAGCAAGGCATCCACAAGGACGCCTTCATCTTTTTCTATCTCAATGGCTTACTCTGGGCCTTTTTCTTAGCTCTACGTCATTCTATTACAGGAAGTGCTCGCCTCATGATCATTCATTTACTACGACGAACATTTGAGTCAGCCCTCTACTCTTACAACTGCAAGAGCAAAATGTCCCGAATTCATTGGATTGGAGGTCTTCTCTACTATCCCCTAATTGTTGCCCGTTCATTCAACAACGACCATCCGCTTCCTTCTTTATTTGTACTAGCCTCACTCGGCCAAGCCATCTCTCACTACCTTCTCTTCCGCAAAGGTCGGTTCACCTATTACACCCACTACCTCTGTGAATCACTCATCCACTACTCCATTGTCCAAGACATCACCCATGTCACCTGGATCACTACCTTCTCTCTCATCAATGCCATCAACCGTACCTTCAAATAAACCTATTCCTTAGAACACCACCCCACCCCACACCACCCCATCTAATTTAGTATTCACATCACTCCACCACCCCATCACCAACCCAACTCAATACCAACTTAATAATAAACAGAACAATAACACCTCTAACTTAATAATTTACTTATCCCACCAACCCAATACACTTCAACACTATCCAATTACACACAATACCATTATAACACCACCCTAACCCACTCAATCTAACCCAATACTAACTCAATCTAACCCAATACTAACTCAATCTAACCTAAACTCAACTCAATATGTAAGAAATTTGCGACCCCCTGTTCAGTGGTAATTGGAAGCTTTCGAGAGGGGTTCGCCCTTAGGAAGGTCTGAGAGTAGCATACACCGGATCGAAATGGTCAAAGAAGAGATTCTTATGGTGGCAGCTGACCAGAAAGTCCTGTTTAGTCCTTACAGACTGAGCAGTTGAGAGGGCTGTTGCTAGCTGGATAGTTAAATCGAAAGGTGAAGGCCTGAGTCTTCATAACCCAATTCAGACTACTCTCCAAATACCCTTTTTTATTTAAGCTCATGAGTGTTCGTGGATATTGTTCCTTGCCCGAAGAAGATTTGCCGATTGTAAATGATTGTCCATTAGAGTATGTCCTAAGTCCGCAACAGACTGCTAAGGTATCAGAAGAACCAATTGCATCTGAAACTCTCTTTTTACCCAATTCTTTGATTGAGAGTCTTACAGCTGGTATTGCTGTTGATGAGTGTTTCAGTCGGACGACCAATCCTTTACCACCCAGTCATAGACAGCACGAACAAGAGGAGGTTGAGTACGAAATACCTATTGACTTAAGTACATCTGCTGAGTATGAAATGGTAGCTATTGAAGGAGTGAATGAAAGAGAAGAGATTCAATCGATCAAGCCAATTAGTGCTACACAGTATACAATGACTCTAACCAACCGTACAGTTACTTTAGCTTGTTCCTCCCTTGATAACAGCACCTATGTAGTAGTCGATTTAAGTGGCCAGCTCATTCCCATTCAAAAGGTAGCCACCACTCGTGTCACCAAGTAGGACCAGTCTCTTCCATCTACTTAAATAAAGATAAGGATATATTGGGTTAGTATTAAGTTGGGTTTGGGTTAGGGTGGAGTTGGGTTTGAGTTGTGTTGATGTAGTGTAGTGTAGTGTAATGTAGTACTCAATACTAACCCAATAGGGATGTCTTTTATTGAGTAAATAAGGGTGGATGAGTATGACGTCATACCAAGTTAGTATTATTTTAGTACTACTAAGTAGTGTGTACTAAGTAGTGATCAGATTGATTGCTGTAGTCGTATGGCAGTACTACAGCTAGTATTCAAATCGAATTAGGTGTTATTGGGTTAGTATTATACTCCATTCCATTAACCTAATACATATCTTATATCAACTTATCTCAACATAACCCAATACTAACTTAACTCAATTCAACCAAATACATATCTTAACTTAACTAAATACTAATACATAATGCAATGTGAATGTTTAATAAAGAAGAGACTTGTTTAGCCACCTACTTGGGCTGAATAGACATCAATTATATCAGAATCAGCCATTTCTAGCTGGTCTGGAGTCTCAGATTCACCCAAAGTCCGATTGTTGTAACTAAAGCGAAGTTTAGCTTGACTGCCAATACGACGAGTGTACTCATCAAAGACCTTCTTAAGCATCGTAGTCTTTTTCAAACGATAGGACCAAATCGCACCACTTTCATCTCTTAAGCGAATAACTAATGTATTAGTTGGTTCTTTAGTAGTTTCCTTCTTAGGATGCTCATTAAGTTCTTCTATTCTCATTTTTTTACCCCCTGCTTAGTGATGAATAACTATAAGTCGGCTGTAATGAGCATTAGTCATAGTTACACTGAAAGCCTTTTATATTAATATCTTATTGCGTTTAGTTTAGATTGTGTTTGATTTAGTTTAGTTTAGTATAGTGTTTGGTTTAGTTTAGTATAGTGTTTAGATTGGGTTGGTTTTAGTATTGGCTTAATTTAGTATTCAGTTTAGGTTAGATTGGTTTTAGATTGGGTTGGTTTTAGACTGGCTTAATTTAGTATTCATTTATATTGCGTTGACTTAATTTAGATGGACTTGATTTGGTAGTTGGTTAAGTAAATACTAAGTAGTTAGTGCTTGGCATCAGGACGTTTGAAGAGACATGCGGCTAGGTTCTTGAGGGTGCGGAGGAGTTTGCCTTCTTTCTTGGGTGGATGGACGTAGGAGAAGCGGTGGACTTTTTGGAGGACGAATTTAAGGGAAGTTTCGGAGATGTCTATGTTGTGGTCGAAGACATGGAGAAGAATACGTTCGTAGGCATTAATTTGGGACTTGTCCATCATAAGAATGTTGGCCCAGGTACGGTTGATGTAAACGCGGTCTACTAAGTATTTAGAGGCTATAATTAGGCAAATAGAAAAGAGAGTCGCACTGTTCTCGCAAAGTTGAAGGCAGGTATCTATCTTCTTTTGAAGTTCTTCCCGTTGAAAGATATGGGCTTCCATTTCTTCACGGAGACTGCCTATGTACTGGGCAGCCTTTTCTCGAGCTGATACGGCTAGATATAAAGCACAAAGCACAACTGGCATAGAAAGACTGGCCCGTTTGATGATATAGGAAATATGTGATGAAGAAGCCTCGCCAGTCTCTGCAGAGTAGATCTTTCCAATGGTAGCACAAAGAACTTCGTTTGGGGCCAGGGCTAGTTTCTCTTCATTGTTCATGTTAGTATCTCCGCATTCGCTTGGTGAATACCCCAAATTCGTTTATTGGCCCATTTGATCAGCCACCAACTCCCTTCAATCCCCCGCCATTCACCAATCAAATACCAATCAACTTCAATTCCAGACCCAATATTTGAGTTAGTATTTAGATAGCACCTACTTGACATTACATCGCACTTATCGCAACCCAACTTACGCCACCACCAAAATTGAACTAGTTTTGATAACTACACAATTATACAACTCAAGATAGCATAACATAACGTAACATAACTCAGTCACAACTTAACATAACTTAATTCAATACAACCCAATACTTAACTCAGTCACAACATAACATAACATCACTCAACTCAATCTAAACCAAACATAATACTTAACTTAACACAACCCAATCTCAACTAAACCCATCACAACCCAAACCAAACTTAACTCAGTCACAACTTAACTCAATTCAATTCAACATAACACAACCCAATCTCAACTAAACCCACCACAACCCAAACCAAACTTAACTTAACACAATACTAACTCAAACTAAGCACTCATTTATTGCTAATTAGACCTTCTTGTAATCCATCCGGCCTTCGAGCTTCTTTTGCTCAGCTATCTTTCTTACACTACGAGTGAGATCATCTTGCGTGATAAAGTCCCTATCCTCTCGAATAGCTAACATACCTGCCTCACTACATACATTCCTTAAATCCGCCCCGTTAAATCCATGCGCCATCTTAACCAAACTGTCATAGTCTATCTCACCGCGCTTCTCCATCTTCTCCGAATGAATCTTAAGAATCTCCAATCGACCTTGGGCCGTAGGTAGAGGTATTTCAATCTTCCGATCTAACCTCCCCGGTCGTAGTAAGGCTGGATCTAAAATATCCGGCCGATTAGTCGCCATAATGACCTTAACTCGACCCAACTCTTCAAACCCATCCATTTGATTAAGCAACTCCATCAAAGTCCTTTGCACCTCCCGATCAGACGAGTTAGAATCAGAAGACCTTTTCCCACCAATCGCATCAATTTCATCTAAAAAGATAACACAAGGCTGATTAGCTTTAGCATAAGCAAACATTTCTCTAATCATTCTACTACTCTCACCAATATACTTCTCAATGATAGCTGAACTAACTACCTTTAAGAAATTAGAGTCTAAAGTAGCTGCTACCGCCCGGGCCAGTAGAGTCTTACCCGTCCCAGGTGGACCGTAAAGAAGTACTCCTTTAGGCGGTGAAATTCCCACCCGCTTAAAGATCTCTGGATTTTTAATGGGTAGTTCAATCACTTCCCGAATTTCTCTTATCTGGTCGGCTAATCCACCAATCTTATCAAAAGAAACCTCACCTGGCTTCTCAATGGACATAGAATAAACTAAAGGATCTACTTCCCGTGGTAAATATCGCATAATAGTTAGAGTAGTTATATCTAAAGCTACTCGGGCTCCTAAAACCAATAAATCTCTAGGAATAGTCTTCCTAGCACCTACAATATACCTTGGTCCTTGTGACGTCTTGACAATAAACCTTTCGTCATCTAGTTGCTTAAGTACTTCTCCTACCATCTGGCCAACACTTTGCAAGGCATCGATATCCTTTTCAGTCTTCTCGAACTCTTTCTCTAAGGACTTCATAGCCTGACCCATTTCCTTCATTGTAGATAAGGCATTACTATGATCAGTGGTTGCTTTATGGTATTGTAATAAGGCTTCCCGCTTCTCTTCGTCCATAACAATAAAATAATAGGGAGATTATATTACATTGACATTGACATTGCGTTGAGTTAGTATTGAGTTGAGTTAGTATTGAGTTAGTATTGAGTTGAGTTGAGTTTAGTGTGGTTTGGTTTGGTATGGTGTGGTGTGGTTTGGTATGGCGCAATGTATTGAGTTAGTTCAGTTAAGTTATGTCTTGTAATCTAATACTAACCCAATACTAAACCGATTGCAATACTAATATCATAATGGGGGTGTAAGTAGACTAATACGCATACTAATACGCACACCAACACATACTAACCTAATACGCATACCAATACTAACCCAACCTAATGTGTGCTTATTTAATCATTGTGGGTTGTAATTTACTGGTAGTTAATTAGAGTGATGAGTACGTAGCTAAGAAAGTTAGTTATAATGTAAGCTAGTCATAATAGTAGGTGGTTAAATAAGTAGTTAAACATTAAGTAGTTAGGTCTTACTAGAAAAGGTATGCGGTTTAATGGTGAGATGATGGGTTATATGGAAGCTTACTTGAAAGAGATAAAGATTTGGCGGTTGCTTAGTGAGTGGAAAAGAGAGACGATTATTGGTACTTTGCAGATGAATAGTAGATGCCGGGAATGGTTTTACTTGGTGCAGCTGGCTCTTGGTCGTACGGCCTTGGACCAGGAAGTAGATAGGTACTCGTCAGGGATGTACACCCTTCTGAAGAATCGAGCTAAGGCTTTGGGATACTCGGTGGCGGAAATAAGCAATATTCAGCGGGTGGAAGCTCGTTTGACCAGGCGGTTCTGGAGTCTTTACTTGGAATGGGCTCCGGTTATTCTCAGAGAAACAACCCGGACTAAGCAGTACTTACACGCGAAAAGTAGCATAGACCTGCCTTATTTGCACGAGCTAAGAACTCCACTTAGTGATTACTTGATTGAACGTGTCTTAGTGCAAACTTTACCTGCTAATGTTCGGGTGTACTTCATTGGCCCAACTCAGTCCACCTTAATTATTTGGCTAGCCCAGAAGGATCCCTTTGGTCTACCACGGCTTAAGTACTTACAACGGACAATCCGAGTAGTGGTGCTAGTAGAGAACGAGCAAACACTAACTTGGGCCCAATTAGCTACTTTACGCGGTATCTTTGGCCAAGCAGTGGTCCAAAAAAAGATGGTCCTACCGAGGATCGAACTCGGGTTACGGGATTCAAAGTCCCGGGTGCTACCGCTACACCATAGGACCTCATGAGTTGCCAAGCCAAGCCATAGACTGGGAAGTCTTGAACTACCACCTCCTCTCTACCTATCACAGCCCATAAATAAAGACACCCATATTCAGCCACTACATCCAATTAGCATTGCATATCGCATATTTCAACACCTCACTCCACCCCAACCCAATACTAACCCAACTCCACTCCACTTAAATCACATTTATTGTTAAGCATCAGGATGGTAGTGCTGGAACACTTTAGCCCAGTAGGCATGGCCTTCCTTTTCAATGGCATAGATAAGACTTTGGGTTATTTGGCCTAATTTAGCCTTCTGAATGTAATCATAAGCAATAACGTACTTGCAAATCCGTTTAGTGGCTACAACCAACCCTTCCTTAGCATTATGAACTAACAAAACCATCAAGTAATCACTTACCCCCACAGCTTCCTTTAAACTCAATGCATGCATTAAATATTCAATAGTTGTATCCGATTGCGATAGTAAACCCAATAAATCACTCTCTACGGCCTGTAACTCTGGAGGAGCATCTGTAGCCAGGAATACGGTTTCTTCTTCTGTTTCACAACTTTGTTTTTGATTTTGATCTGATAAATTATTCTTGTCCTTATCATTGTTTTGATTTTGATTTTGATCAGAAATAGTTGTTTTTGAATAAATTTCCACAATCTCTTCCTTAGTCAGTTGATTGATTTTTTCTATCTCTTTTTCTTCTTCTTTTGTTCTGATTTCCTTTTTCTCTATCTCTTCTTTCCTTTTTAGGAGAATTTCTTTGATATCCTGCCGTCTTTGCTCTTGCCAGGCCTGAATAGACTTAGTATCAATATTTGGATGTTCGGGCATATCTTCAGAAGCTAAGAGTTGTTCGTATAAGCGATAGTCCATTAAAAATTTAAAATGAGCTATACTCCTATATTCACTTCTATTCAGACAATTGAGGGTATTCAGACTGCTAATAAGAATATATACGGATATTTCATGAAAAGTGAGTACTCTTACTATGTACCGGCTGAGTACAGATACGCTGCGTATAGAAAGAGTACAGATGTGACTTATATCGTGGTGGTAGTTGGTTACGAGAGTAGATCGGGTGATTACTTGTACAAACACAATGAAGACGATTTAGAGATTGAGTGCTTACTGGGTAAAGATGCATCTTACTTGCGGCGGAAACGAGTAAACCTTTCTGGACTAGCTAGAACGATTAGAGAGATGGAAATGGAGAAGTTAGAACCAAAAGCATTTCAGCCGAATGAGTGCTTTATTGGGTTGGCCTTTCCGGATGGCTTGCCACGGGTAGGTATTATGAACATGATTGATAGTTTGTTGTGCCATGGTAAGTTTAAAGGAGTTCTTTTGGCGCCTTTATCTTTGGGAGTGAGTTTTGGGTTGGGACTGTCCAATTCGGTGGTGGTTAATCGGGTGGATATGAGTGTTTGGGCGATTGAAGATAATTGCATTTTAGATGGGGGTGTGCTGGATAAGAAGTACAGTCGGACTATGGATGGAGATGATTTAGTGGATGAACTGACCAATCGTGAAGAAGGTCCTGGAGCTAGTATTTATACTAATGAGTGCTATATTTGCCAAGATCGGTTTGATTTGGCCCAGTTTAGTATGCATTTCAAAAACAAGCATGGGATTGATGTATATGAAGATCTGAAAGAAGGAGATTTGATTTTAAGCCGGTGTAAGGCTATTATTGAACCGCCTGAGCCGGTTAATGAGAATTCTGGGGTTAAAACCATAGAAGAGAGTCTGGCGGCTTTATTAGAAAAGGTCGCTCCTCCCGAAAGAGAGAAGAAGCTTGCCTCTACGTTGATTTACATCACTAAAGACCGAACACCATTACCTCAACCGCCGACGACTGCTCCTGCCGCACCGGCTGCACCTCTGCCAGCTGAACCCGCTTCTAATCCGGCTAATACTAGTGAATCTAATCCTAACTCATCCCAAACCATGCCCGCCCCGCCCCCTCTTATTCCCACTACTCTGGAGGAGCAAGAAGCTATTCAGCTTCCCCTGGAGTTTACTACTCTTAACCATCTTACTGAGGAAGAAAGAGGCACCACGGCCTGGCGAGGTCTTCATGCTCTAACTAACATTGAGCCGGCCAAAGATCTCTGGCTGACTGATAAAGAGTGGCAAAGTGTTCGTTTGCGCATTCTCAAGGAGAAGATTCTCTTTCCCATTTAAATTGTCTATGTCCAACTCCCATCCTAAAGGGGGTAGACTTAAGTCTAGCGCGAATAAATCACTGATAAATTGAGTTAAGATTAAGTTAAGATTAAGTTGAGTTTGTGTAGGGTTGTGTAGGGTTGTTTAGTGTTGATGTAGTTTGGGGTGGTGCTAGTTTGGTTTGTTTAGTGTTGATGTAATTTGGCTGTTAGAAGTTGTTCGAAGTTGTTATTTATTCGGCCATATTACCAATACATTGCATGCCTCTGATCGTGGTGACAACTTAACTTAACTTAACTCAACTCAACTCAACTCAACTCAACTCAACTCAACTCAACTCAACTCAACTTAACTTAACTCAACTCAACTTAACTCAACTCAACTCAACTCAAATCCACTAGACATACTAATCCAATGGAGCTTTCACTTCTACCTATTGTTATCTACTACTATTTATTCTTGATCTCTCGTCGGAACAGTTTGTTCTGAACTAAATACTACCACCACAAATTACTATATCTAGCCTACTCGCACTTTATCTTAATACAATACCAACCAAATACCAACTTAACTCAATCAAATACCAACGTAACTTAACCGAATATCAACTCAACTCAACCAAATACCAACTCAACTTAACCGAATACCAGCAAAACTTTTAATGGACAAGAAGTACAATGGACTCGTTTTCTCTAAAGATGCGAATTACGTACCCCAAACTCAAGAAGAACAAGAGGTATTTACCCTCCTAAACAAACGAATTCACAATAACGATCTTGAAGATGATTTTTTTGAAGTAGCTAGTGGACTTCGCGATGGTTCTTCTGATAGTGATAGCAGTATTGAAGAGGTAGACAATGAAATGGATGATGAGTTGGATTGTAATAGGTCAGACTGTGATGAAATAGATAATGGCAGGGGGCGAATAGGCCTTAGTAGCACTGCGCTTAACATTACTTCAGCCAATACTAATACTCATACTAATACCAACCCAACCTCTACCCAAACTAATACCAACACAACCCAATCTGATCTCTACAACTTTAACTCTTTGATTAATGAGGTAAACTCAATCTCAGGCGGACATTTTGAAATGCTTTCTTCCTTCTTTGATAAGAAACGGGCGCCCAAGAAGAAAAAGAAGAAGGTGGCCACCAACATTGAGGAGTGCAACATGATCCTTAACCGAATGGGCTCCTTTGCTAGCACCTTTATAGAAGAAGAAGACCCTAAGCCTAGCAAACGCTCTAAAGTATCTAAACAAGAAGAGTTCTGTGGAAATTGGGATAATCTTGAGTCTTCTTCGACCCAAGCAACCCGTCCAAAATATCAGCCCAATCTTATCTAATTGAACTAAACTCAGCTAAATTCAGTTATGATTAAACCATAATTAACCCAATAAATTTATTCAGGTACGTAGATATGTTGATTTGACTTTGGTGTGGTTAGTATTGGGTTAGTGTTGGATTTGCTGTTTGTTGTTTGAATTGGGATTAAGTTGATTAGAGAATGGTGTTGGGGTCCCAGCACGTTCGGTGGCTGATTGGGAAGTTGTCCAGGGCCTGGGTTTCCTCTTCGGTTAAGGTGACTGATAGAGCGTCGAAGTTCTCTTGAATGCGCTGGGGAGTGATGGACTTGGGAATGACTAGGCAGTCTTTGTCAATGACCCATTTAAGGAGGTACTGGGCAATGCTGCCTTTCTTCTGGAGCTGTTGAAGGATTGGGTACTGGTTGATCCATTCTGAGGAGAGAAGTTGGCCGCGGCCTAAAGTAGAATAGGCCTGTACGGCTACTTTGTTCTCCTGGGCATAGGCAATGTCTTTGGCGGGGTAGCAGATAGGTGAAAATTCGATTTGGTTGACTTGTGGCTTCTCATCAAAGGTTTCTAAAATGCCGCGCAAATGCGAGGCCATAAAGTTGCTCACGCCAATGTTCTTGACTTTGCCGGCTTTCTGCAACTCAACTAAGGCCCGGAAAGATCCGTGACGTAGATCTTTGTTTTGGGGGCTTTGCAGATCGACTCCTTTGGCTCCGGGCCAATGAATTAGCACTAGGTCCAGGTACTCCTGCTTCATTTTGGCCAAACTATCGAGGACTGAGGCTTTGGCGGCATCATAGCCCTGGTTGGTGGTGGCAATTTTAGTGGTCAAAAAGATCTCATTTCGGCTGATTCCTGTGGCTGCAATAGCTGCACTTACTTCGGCTTCGTTCTTATAAACCTGAGCTGTGTCGTATAATCGGTATCCAGTTTTCATTGCGGCTTTAACTGCCCCATCCACATTTTCTACTTTCATCTCATATGTCCCTAACCCTAAAACATCCATCTCCTGGTTGTTGTTTAGCTGCACTTTCTTCATCATCAACAAAATAGACACAGCTTAGTTAAATGCTAAGATTGAAAGATCGAGGGATCTTAATAACAAGGTTAGGCTCAGCAAATCAGCTGCCTAACGCCGGCCCATTGTAAGAATGAAATAAAGCAGAGCTGTTGGTGTCTTAACTGGGCCGGCTGCCACTAAGCGCTTGAAGAGGTATAAAGAAGACTCTAAAGATGATTGCTATGGCATAATTACTATGGCACAATTGGGAGTAGTTAATAGTTGACCTAGAGAAGTCGTTGGATTTTGGTATGGCTCAGCTGATTTGGATAATTATGGCGCGGTGGATACATTGGTTCTTCCACACTAACTGAGATAATAGTATATTAGAACCACGATTTATTATAATGCACCTGTTGGTGAATAGAAACAACGAGTGAGGTAGGATGCTGTACTTATTTTAAGATCTGTTGTGGTTGTAGTGATAGAGTAAGTCTAATTTTTAAAACTGACTAAACTTCCTTGTTAGTCTTATTTCCTTATTAGTCCTGTTTCCTTGTTAGTCTTATTTCCTAATAAGGTAATTTTACTTTTTATACATATGATTAATCAGAAAGTAATGTCTGTTGGTAGATTCCAAATCTATCGTTTAAAAATGTTTGGGCTGTACATCGGGTTGATTTTGTATTGTTTGTTATTACTATTGCAGGATGTTCGTGGGGGTTGTGAGACTGGTATGAGTACTCAGAAGAGTTTGCCAACCTCGGATGAGATGCGCATAACTCTCGAAAGGATTGGGTTTGGCTTTGTCACTACTGGTGATGATGATGCTTATGATTATATCTATAATTGTGCCAGTAATTCACCTCGCGTCATCACGGTTACACACTATAACCCTACCCAATTACAGGAACCAGCCTCAGACACGAGCCCTATCCCATCCTCGAATCTAACAGACCCAACATTGCGTAATGTACCTAGTTATGTAATAGAGTATTCAGGTCTGGATTTCCATTTTGAAATGCCCAACTACTCTGGCCCAACTATGATTAATAGAGTTTTGGAAGAATTAAGAAAGATTGCCACGATTCGTGTGCCCGCATGCTGTGTTTCTTATTCACTACTCGATCCCAAGTATCATTGGGAAAACCTGCGAATTCTATCTCGAATTGTTAACCTGTTAGATTGTAGTGAATTGGATATTTCTTTCAACCCTGGACGGAGCAAGAAAGTGCATAAACCCCAACCAGACCGATCTATTTGCCTACTAGAAGCCCAAAATGCTGTTGCCCACGCCAAGTATAATTCAGTGTGCAACATTCAATTTTCAACTTCAAAGAATAACAGTCTTTTGAAATTCCTAGATAGTGGCATAGTTTTGCTGCGAGAGATCGCAAGTATCTCTGTAGAGGAAGATGAGTTCCAAAGTAGCTCTCGCATTGCCGAGCTGCCCTTACAAGAAGGCTACACTATCTCTTTTGTTTGGCTGCCTATGCAAGTTGATTTGGATCTTAGCTTCCTTCATACGTCTCCTAGATGCGATCTAATCATTATCCGATTTGCTAAAGCATTTGAAAGAATTACCTTGACCGGTCTTGAAAAGGCCATTGCTAGACAGCCAACGCTATCTTTGAAAGCCGGTTCGGATGTGCTTCGCTATCTAAGCAAGCCCTGCCAGCCTCTAATTCACGTTCATACTATTTTAGGTTTTGATGCCATCCCGTCTACGGTCCAACTAATGCGCGAACTTCCTCAAGAACAAACAATTCCCGAACCTCGCATTATTGCAACCCAGGCCAACGTTTTTATTCCCACTTACCAGCCCTGCAGTTATTTAGAATACTACAAGGATTTATTCTCCTCGGAGGCCTTTGCTCAACTCGGCATATCTGTAGACTGGGTTTATCTTGATTATAGGCCCGGCCGGGACGACTTGCGCCAAACGCTAAAGTTCTTTCAGAATCTCAACGTCTTATCAGAAATACCTGTAGGGGTTAGGGATAAACATGTTGTATGTTGTGGTGACAAACTCGACAATCCCTGGTGGAGCATTCAAACCCCGATTTGCATCCAGCTCGACCATCCCCAATTGGATAATGAGATTATGCTCTACAGATCCCAACGCTACATGTGCTTCTGCCAGTACATACGCTACCAAATCATCAGTATTAAGGGTGATATAAATCCATCCACTGACCAGGTTCTAGCGTGTATCAATCTTCTATCTCTATTCCATAACATTGCCGCCGTTGCACTTGAAATATCGAATGTTCGTGGCCAGAGTCAAGATGCCACCAGCTTTGACTTGCATGCCTTCCAAGAAAGAGTAGATAGTGCGCCCAAACAGCATCTCAATGCCAAAACCGTGGTACTAGACAATGTCGATACAGAGATTCTATACTGGATATTGGGACAGTACATTTTTGCCGAGTTAATCGAAATATATGTTGTGAACCAGCGGTTTGCTAATCTTGGCATTGCCCTCTTCTTGTCTCTTCCTGCGGCCCAGCCGATCGGCCTGCTCGTGATTAATGACTTCCTTGATTTAAATGAAGTCAAATACTACGAGCAGCCAGATCAATTCGAGGGATTCTCGTTATTCAAATCCGCCGATTCGGAAAATCCAGAGCATGATCCTCAGAGCCTACGCAAGTTGTCTTTGCACCTGGAAGATGCCAGCTTTACTTCGCATCGAGCCATCATAAGCAAACTGCTAAGCTATGGTGTTCTGCTCCAACATATGACATTCGAAGAATATATCACATGGGAAACGACAAACCCCAATGCTGACCCAACAATGTTAGACAAGAAAGAGTTTGCACTCGACCACATCACGCTAAATGACTTAACAAGTGATTTAAACAACTGTTTGGCCAGAAACGCGGGTCTATCATCTCTAAGTCGAACTCCAGTTCGTAAAAGTTCCGTTGAGAGACTATTTTTGTTATTCGATGACCCGTTTTTGTTAGATGAATGCCACCTATTAACTATCATTCGCTGGTTAGCCTGTCGGTTTACGAACGTAAAGGCTCTGCGGATATCAAATGCTATATGGACTCAGAGGGAAATTGATTTGATTACTTCGCACAACTATTTATTTGCTGGACTAGAGCTGCTCAGTAGTATTCAACTAAAGCCTTCGGATTCAGATGAGGGGCCTATCGAATTGCTAACCAAGCCATATCGCCTTAGCTTAGTGAAACACGTTACTAGTCCCAAACATGCTTTGTTTGGGCTGCCTTCTAAAATGATATCTCAACTTGTTGCCCACTCTAACGAGCTTGGCAATTTCCTTTCTCAGCGCATTGACCTTAATGCGCCTCTTCGAAAGGTTATAAGCGATCTTCAAGAAAGCGGCACCCAGATTAGTTGCATGATTTGTAGTAACAGCCTTTATGTGCTAGCAACACAAGAAGACAGGCCTGCCGACCGGGAAGCTGCTCATCCGTTCGATCCTGATCAGCATTTCACCACGGTTTGCTATCTTAAGTGTGGCCACTCATTCTGCAATGATTGTGTGGTTCGATTTAAGGAGAACCTGGACAACCGTTGTTCATTTTGTCGCGTGCCAATCGTATATAGTGATGCCCATCGGCTTATCAGTGCTCCTCTATCTAGCTTTTTATTTACCCCGAACAACGTCTATTCATCGTTTATTGATAGCGAACAGCTTAGAAGCATGACCTGGTGCGATGGAAATGTCTATCTATACGTCGCCTATAAGGATACAACTGATATCTTTACCAAGTTCAATGAAGACATAATCTATGATCGCAATAATCCAATTTATGTCATTTGAACGGGCTTGCTATTAATAAACCGGTTTGATTTCTATTTAGCCTACATTATGTATAAGATCTAGTTGGTATACTAACCCAATACGAAGTCTATCTTAACTAATACATACACCATTAAAGACATTCCTTGATACGAGCGCCGGTACCTTTTATTAGATAAATATGATGGTTATGTTGAGATAGGATGACTTCGTACTGAGTGTAGTGTAGATATCTAAAATCACTTTGGTTAAAGTATCCTGGACTAAGTAGTGAGTAGATTGCCAGTGATCAGGTTAATCGGTGCGAGAAATGAGTAGTGATCGTATGACAGCACTACATTATGATATCGTTAAATAGGCCATTCTAACCCAATGCTAAGACGAACCCACCCGAACACTGATTGAGCAACATTGGGAACGCCATGTAGCTTGTTATCAAAATAAACTGATCTACTTCACAACAATTCAATTAAAATCTATATATTAGCCCGCTGGTGATCGGTGTAAGATGGGTCTATCTTTATTGTTTAGTAGAAACTTTGGGTTCGTGTTGGGTTAGCTTTAGCTAAGATGCCTATCAAATAGATCTTTTTTAAGAAATGGTAGGTTGTTTAGATCTATTCTTTTTCTTTCCATATCTTATGCCACTATCTTTAGGACCACAAAAAGCACTTTGTGTCCTCCCATTAAACACGCTAAACAGAATGCTAATTCATAATGGCACTAGCGACTCTATCCTGAACACTGTACGTGCCACTATATCTGCACCAGCACTGAACATCGCAAAGTTACTCAAGACATGGTGTTTAAAGAGTAGGCAAAGTAGGGTTAGTATTGGGCTGTATCTCTTGCTGGCCTTGCTGGTCTTTCTAACTAGCCACGCGGGATCGCCTAAGAATATTCAGATGACCTTGCCCGATTCGAAACAAGTAGCCAACATCATGACATTAATTGGGTTTTCATTTGATAGTCCGAACCCGGCTGTGACGGTTTATGCCTATATTCCTAACCAAGTAAAAGAGCCTGCATTGGATCCTAACTCAGCGTCAAATAATATACCTAGCTATGTGGTAACGTATGCCGGTCTAATGATCAGTTTTGAATTGCCTTCCTACTTCAATTTAGATAAGGCTGCGGCCGCCTTGAATGAGCTAAGAAAGATTGCCTCTATTAAGGTTGATCATTTTTTGGTCATACTATTGCCTGCCAAGATCAGCGGCCACGAGATATTTCCGCGAATTTTATCTCGGGTTGTTAATATGGTTGACTGTTCGCAGCTCGAAATGTGCCTTACAGATGACCAGGAAGAAAACCCGGCCATCAATCAGATAGACTGGATAAAGGCTTGTCTGCAAGAAGCACAAAACACATCCAAGCATGCTGTTTATGGCCCAATATGTGAGCTGCAATTTAGCCCAGAAACCAAGACGGAAGTCTTTCTTTTAATCTACTATGGCATTGCTCTATGGCGGCCAATTTCAAGCCTTTATTTGTCACAAGTCAGACCCCAATCACTTGCACCTTTTAACCAGTTTCCATTGAAAAAGGGATACACCATCGTTTCTAAACACTGTCCAGAGAATGCAGTGTTTGATTTTAGCTCTCTTCCCGGCACAACAGGCTGCGGAAGGATAGCGCTTTGTGACCGCAATGCCATGGAGCTGACCATAGTTGGTCTTGAAAACGCAGTTGATAAATATTCCACAGTCTCTCTAGAAGTTCCGTGGAAGGCTCTCCTGTACATGAGCGAGCACAATGCGTCTCCAATTCAAGTTTTCTCTCTTCGCGCCCGTCATGTTTCCCAAAGCTATATCCAACAAATGCACCAAACCCGGCACGGATCAAAATGGCTCAAACCTAAGATCTTTGCTGATAAAGTCACACTTGAAATTGACAAAAATGCACCATGTAACTCTCGAAAATACTACAAGGAAGTGTCCACTACGGATGTCTTTATCAAGCACGGCATTAAGGCCAAGGAGATTATGGTCAAATATCAGGTCGGTCGAATAGATTTTGATGCAACCATGCAATTCTTTGTGGACGTCTATGCTTTATTAGATAGGCCTGACGTAGGTTTGAACAAGAATATTATATGTTGCGGTGACCAACTTAACGACCCAGACTGGACACTTGACGAAACTGTTAGCATCCAACTTAATCAACGCAAGTTAAGTTCTGAGATCAAGAGATACAAGAGAACTAACCACCTCGACTGTTTCTGCCAGAATATACACTATGCAGTCATTGAGATTGCCGGCAACCGTACTCCAAACAAGAAACAAGTCGAGCGGTGCATTTCTCTTCTAAGCATCTTCCAAAGCATCACCGCCCAAGAGCTCAAAATCTCTAATGTTCGCACCCATAGCGATACCACTACTTACTTTGATATAATCACTCTAAGGTTAAAAGCGGCCCAACAAACCAAGTGGCCTCTCGCTCTTAACACCCTGGTGCTAGACAATGTTGATGAAAAGATCATTTACTGGATGCTGGGGTGCTACACCTTTACTAGCTTAATCACAATATACCTTCAAAACCAGCACTTCAATAATCTTGCCATTGCCCAGATTCTTTTCCTTCACCCGGGGCCTCAAGAGATTGGCTCACTTGTCATTAATGAATTCAGCGGGCTACACGAAGTAAAACATTACGACCGGCGGGGGAAGGGTGAGAAGTTTTCACTCTTGAGGTGTATCGATAATGCACAAAAACACAAACGATCAAGCGAAGACCTTGGCCTGCACAAACTGGTTTTATATGCAAACAACGAAGACTATATCATGTATCCCGATGCAATGGCTGAACTTCAGCGCCATGGCATTAAGATTAAACCCATGCTGCCCAAAGAATACCTCACCAAACAGCATCCGACAGCAACTATTCAGCTATGAAGATCAAGAAAGGGCTTATTGCAGTGCTCAAGGGAGGTATAAGACCTCTCATCCAAATATACTCGACGAGAGACAAATTGGGTTAGTATGCGAGTCTGAACCGTTTCTAGATCTGGTATAGTCTTCTGTAAGTTTTTCATGTATGTCATAGAGGGTCTTGGAAAGTTTTGGAAAGTCTTTTATCAATCTTCGTCGTATATTTATACTCTGAAACCAGTGATAGCAAGATTGAGATTTCTTTTGGAATGTATTGGCTTATCTAAAGTAGTACGGAATAAATATCTACATTATCTGTACTTACTCGTCTAAAAGTAGAAACGATTTGAGAACCTCATTAAGATGTGTGGGGGATGACGGACACCACACTAATACCAACACGAACTTAATATAACGTCATCTCACACCCACATCTTTATTTACTCAATAAATGGTACCCACACTTATCTCAAGGAATATCTTTAATAGAGTATGTATTAGTTAAGATGGACTTCGTATTGGATACTACACCAATAGTTATGAAAGCAACAAGACAAACCTATCTTCTGTAACACCACTACCAAATAATCCTTCAAACACCACAATTTAACAATGAGCTAATGGCTATGCCAGTTTTAACAAGCTTGCTTTATTTCGTCTTCAGATTTCAAAGACAGCCTTGTTATTAACGAACTAACACCAGCAAAATGCCTCCGTCCCTGTTTGGAATAGCTAGTCTTTCTGGTTGTTCAAGTCAGTTCGCGCAAACCAACTCTGTGCTTGATGAAGCAAGTTGCTCACAAAATTCCCATTATCTGTGGCCTTATTTTGCCTGTTGTCTTGCTCCACTTGCTTAAAGATCGCCGAAAATGGTCCATAGAACCCATTTTTGATGTCATTATAAATAAGAGTAACGCCCTCTTCCTCATCATCTTGATCATCTTCTTTCCATTTGTTTATAGCTGGCGTTGGGCCCACTGGCGGATGCATTAGAAGCGCAAATGAACCGCCATGCGGGATTTTAGCCTCACTAAAGCGCTCATTAAACATGTTGCATACATATGCCTTAACAGTGCTGCTCAATTTTGAACCAGTGTTTGGCGGCAACTTGACAGTGGGTGTTATAAAAGGAGCTACACACCAATCGAAGATAATAATATCAACTTCCCCCACCCGCCCCTGCATGCCATCGATTAGCGACGAGACTCTTTGTTTGACTTCGTTTACCCCTTGCAACCCTGTCTTGCCTTTTTGCATCTCCACCAACATCACAACTGACGTCGGAAGATTATTATGGACTTTTACATTAGGATAATAAAGCTTGGCTTCTATTGTTGTGATTCTATAAAACTTCGCCATATCAGAGACATGCTCATATATATCGATGATCTTATGAACATAGATGTAATTCTGGCTTCCCACAATCGAACAAACTAAGCTCGTAAACACTATCAACGGCAATAATAACACCCTGTCAATTTTCATTTTATCTCTATTTCAAAACTACAAAGTTTATGTCTACAATTTAATATTGATCTAGATAGACAACTCACGGACTTGGCACAGATTTAGTTGTTTGATTGCCTTTCTACGCCATCCATTTACTTCTATTCTCACTCTATTTTAATCCAACCCGTCTATGTTTTATACTAGCCCTAATATTAAACTAAACTAAAACCAACCCAAATTAAGATTAACTCAGTATGGTTTCATTTTTACTTTACATTAGCTTTAGTCCTACTTCAATTTCTTTGACATATACCCCAGATCTAGATATGTACTAACATACACTAACATGCACCAGCTTCCAGGAAACCTATCTGGCAAGTCCCCAAACCAATCCAAGTTAGCATCAGGACCAACTTAATCTAACAGAATCCAACTTAATCGCAACCCAACTTAATAGGCTTACCATCAATTGATTACCATGTTAGGCATTGCCCAGTGGCAATTAGGGCTATCAGGCTATCTTCTTTTTTATTTCCACAGATTATGCCGCTATCTCTATCTATGAACAAGCCAACCAAAACTCATCTAATTAGCCACAGATCAACATCAATCTCAAACCAGTTATGTGTTCGTCAAGCTGTTCAGAGTATCAAACACATTATTATGCTTGCTCCTAGCACAGCTAGCGCCTCTACAAACCGCAGTGATCATTTTAAGGAAATTAAGCCTGGCAATGTTGCTAGGCTGTGTCTGCTTCTCTTAATAGTTAGTTCGATTTATGTCTCAGGCATAAGCACCAACATATCCCTAGTTGCTGCACAAAACGAGCTACCCAGCTCCGATGCAATGATTCTAATGATGGAGTCAATGGGTTTTGAATTTAAAAGCGTGGGGCGGGCACTGATCGTTAAGTCCTACCACCCCAACGAACCAGAAAAAGTAGGCGGAGCTGACAATTCATTGCCAACCCAATGCAGCTTAGCGGCATGGGAGACACCCATTTATGTGGTCGAATACCCAACCCAATATCTCACCTTTCATCTACCCGCATACATACATATACATAAGGCCCGACTAGTACTATTTGAGCTAAGAAAGATCGCGTTTATTAAGACGAGCCATGCTACTATCAATTATGCCCATTCTAACCCAGGAATAACCTCAATCAATTTACAAATTCTATCTCGAGTCGTCAACATGCTAGACTGTATGGTCCTGGAGCTATGCTTGGATCCTCGGCATCACGAAGAGATAGCTAAAAGCCCAGAGGATTTGAAGAAAATCCAGATAGAGGCACGCGATACCGTCAAACATGCTTCTTACACGCTAAAATGCCGACTCCAGTTTACAAACATCCAAAGCAAGGAGCAGCACACAGAATTGCTACGCCATGGAATTATCATACAAAGGCCTATTTCAAGCGTCTATTTAGATGATAACCAAATCGATGCCATTTCTCTCCTTCAGCACGTGTCGCTAATCAACGGATATGAATTTTCATTTGAATGGACGCATAGCACATCAGATATTGATCTCAACCTGCTCCAAACACTCCCGGTCAAGTGCAAGCAGCTTTTCATTATAGGCCATCCAGACAGGCCAGGTATAAGCACAATAGACGGTCTTGAAAATGCTATTATAAAGCACCCAAAGATGTCTCTGAAAGCCAGCTGGGCAACCATCCAGTATCTCTGCGTGCACAACAAATCTCTAATACACGTCCATACTATTGAAGGCATATTGGTCTCCCATCTTTCTAACCAGACCGGGCGCCAACCCTCTCAAAACCCAGTCTCTTCTGACTTCCGCATCTCCGCATCTCTAGGCATTATCACAATCGACAACAATCTACCATGCCAATCCACAGATTACTATAAACTGATGTACAAACAAGAGGACTTTACCAAACTAGGCATATCCTTTGAACAGATTCAATTTGACTATCAGGAAGACCGAGTAGATTTGTATGCCACCTTAGAAGCATTTTACGGCATCAAAGCGTTGGATACAATGCCAACGGAAGTTCTAACAAGGGCGGTTATATGTTGCGGAGACAAACTCAGCGATCCCAACTGGATGCTTCAAGAAACACTCAATATCTGGCTCAACAAGATCCAAATAGATGACAATCGCCAGAGCTATATATGCTTTGCCACCCGAGACTGCTCAAGCCGTTGGCACATGCACTTCTGTCGCTGTATACACTATACATGCATCAGGATTTCTGGTGGCAACGACTCCGACGAGAAGAAGCCGGTCAAGAAATGCATCCTTCTACTAACTGTACTTCAAAGCCTCACGGCCAAAGAACTTAAAATCTCTAATATCCGCAACGATAAGCAAATCGAGACTCAGTTTAACATATCCGTTCTCAAATCAAAAATAGCTAAGTCAACCAAATGGCATCTTAACGTCAAATTCCTGATACTAGATAACGTTGACCAACAAATCATTTATTGGATGCTAGGACATTACACTTTTACAAACCCAATCGAAATATACCTTCTAAACCAGCACTTCAGCAACCTTGCCATTGCCGAAGTTCTCTCACTTCCTCAAACCGAGCAAATCGCATTACTCGAGATTAACAACATTCTGGGACTAAACGAAGTGATCAATTTCCAACAAAAAACCAACCAAACCAATGGATTCTCAATATTCAGATATATAAAGGCAGCAATGAAACAGCACAATCCATCGGGAAGTCTTGACACATTCAGCTCACTCAGCTCACTCGACACATTCAACGCACTCAACACACTTAACTTGCACAAACTATCATTGCAACTAGGCTGTCTCAACTTTAGCTTATATACTAAGCTCATCCAGAAGCTTGCCAGCTATAATATTCAACTATCAGCGATGCCACTAGAAGATTATATCAAAGGCGCCGCATCAAACCCCATTGCCAATCTAGCAGTACACAAAAGACTGTTTACGCTCTATAACATTACTCTAGCGGCCCTAGAAGCCGGCCTCAAGGCCCACCAGACTCCAACCAGGACCCAACACCGACCACTCCCTACTCTCCTCCGACAATCCGTCGAGGAATTACGACTGGAGTTCTCTCGCCGCCAATCCCTAAACGAGCCAGACTTGATAACAATTATCCGCTGGGTAGCTTGCTTATTTAAGGATCTGGTTGCATTACGACTAGCCAATGTCAGGCTGACATGTCGGGCAACATTTGCACTGAGATCTCACAAATATTGGGTTTATGGCCTATGCACGCTTGCCAATATTTACATAGAAATTGACCTGTTCTCGCAAAAGCATGTTAGATTACCAATCCAACTGTATAGCCATGCCATGGTGTCAAATGTCTTTAATTACCGGCCCGAACTCACCGCAATATCATCGGCAACCTTGCTCCGGTTTATTGCCTTTATCGACCAAATCGACAAGTTTGTCTCGAATCATGCCTTTCCCAAAGCATCCCTCAAAATGATCGTAAATTCCATTAAGGAAAACAAGACTGATTTCGAATGTCCCGTTTGTTTCCGGGTTCTTGGTATGGTCCCTAGCGAAAGAGGATGGAAAAACATATCCTGTTTCCTAACTTCATCGCCCACCCACAACTTATATAACTCAAGCGACAACTTCGCAGCACTTTGCTATCTCAAATGCGGGCACCGCATCTGCAATGAGTGCATACCCAAGATGAAAAAGATGCCGAGCACTCAATGTCCCACCTGCCGTACACCAAACGTCTACGACAATCCCCACCGGCTCATCGGCATTCCTCTATCTAGGTTTATCTTTGCCGAAGACAGTGTTAAAACACTCCACCCCAACCCCGACCAACTCAATGCCTATACATGGGACAATGAGCAAATCTATTTCTACATACCCTATAGCCAGATAGACAACCTTCTCCGCGGCCTTGATAAAAACCCAAACCATGACGTTCCCAAGGAAGTAAGCGTCATCTAATCAGCACCAGCATCTGAGAATGCAAGCCAATACTAACCCAATGAGTCACTCAAGTCCATTAAGCACCCAAACCACTCGATCCCACCTAATTCTAGGGCCAACATCAAATAGTACACCAACCCAACACCAACTCAATAAACCTAACTCAAACCTAAATCAAATCAATTGCTTCCTCTAGCAACTTAACATATCAATTTATCACATCAAAATACTATCAAAATACCACATCAACACTATCAAAATACCACCACAATAGATAATTCAGCTACTTAACCCAATACTAGCCTCTTTTTTTTGCGATGAACGACGAATTACTCCATCTTGGTGAAACTTCTCTCAATAAGTATTTAGCCCGAATTATTCCTGATTATACTACGGCCAAAAATGAACTTGAAATACTTATCACTAACATGCCCCAAAAACACTCACTAGCCAACTACATCTTTAATGAACTTGCTAAGGAAGGCATTTCCACCGAAGAAATCACCGCACATGAAATAGAAATCCTTAAGAATGCTTCTTCCGACTACTTCCTCTTAACCAACGCGATTCTTTACTTAGAACGAAGATGGAACACCCAAATAGTCACCGAAATCATTCAAAGTTCCCTTTCAGCACACCAAGCCTCACTTCTACTAAGTTTAGTCATTGACCCCAAAGAAGAAGCAGTTGAAAACCCATGCAATATCACACCATTCTCTTTAACTCTCCCCGCCGATTTCACTGGAGTAGAAGAAGTCCACCAAATTCTCATGCACCTTAGCAGCCAAGACTACCTTAACTCTTTCCGTGATACTTTTACAGCGTACAAAACCATCCAAGCCTACGGCCTCAACCCAACTCTAGCTACCATCGAACTATTCAACCTAAGCAAGCACGAAGGCATTGGTTTCAAAGACATTCTTGCTGCTATCATTCTTGGGTTAGCCCGTCCTACTCCTAATCTTCTCTACTACTGCAACCTCTTTATCAAAATGTACAAGAAGAACAAAACCATTCTTCCTTCTTTCCTACACGTTCTAATTACCATGTTTAATCATTCTGATCCTTTCTGGCCACAAATACAAGCCATTATCCCCCATCTCTACCTCAATCTCCCTCGTGAAAGAGAAGTTCTCTACCCTCTCCTAACTGTCCTCAGTCCCAAACAAGCTCTTTTCCTCTACGAGTCATTCAACGGCCGCCTTCCCCAGCTAGAAATCTTTGATCCATTCACCACCGCTCGCCAAACCATTCCTTCCTCCAACATCCGTACTCTTACTCGTTCTCTTCTTAACATCCCCGAAGACCAAACTTACCATCTCCCAAGCACTACCACAAACACTACCACTACACCAATCCCACCCCAATCTTCTACCACTACAACACCTACATTTACTCCCCAAACCAGCCTTTCCCAAATCCAAGAGCACCTGGATGCCTTCTTCCACTTCTTCCTTACCAAAACCGCGCCATCCTTTACTCACTTCAACAACACTCTCCTGGAGTACAAAGCCCTTTTCAAAACTCTCACCTCCGACCAAGTCCAGCAATTCACCACAGCCCTCCTTTCCACCACTAACTCCCTTACCTACAAAGAACTTGCCACCCACCGCCTCTACTCCCTCCTTGTCCTCAATGTAGCCTAACCCAATACATCCCCTTTATCTTCACCTTATTACCCTCACCTTATTACCACCATCTTATTACCGCCATCTTATTAAACTGAATGCACATATTACTTTACATTACATTAAGTTACACTAAGTTATACCACATTAAGTTACTGTAGTGCCCATGGGATGGATAACATCCATTAGCCAATACATACTTCATTAAAGACATTCCTTGAGACGAACGCTGGTACCGTTTATTAAGTAAATATAGGTGTGAGTGTGAGGATGACGTCATATCAAATGTAGATAAGATATGCAAAACTAAACTGGTTAAAGCCTCCTGGTTATATTAAAGTTACGTGTTAGTCTTGGTTTAGTACTAAGTAGTGTGTAACTTACCATTAATCAGGTAGATCGTGTGGAAATTGGGTAGTGGTTAGTATTACGGCACTACATTAATATCTGGATGTTAAATGTGTGGACAATACTCAGCGTGGTTTTCTTGCCGACTTCTTCATTAGATCAGGTTCAAATATCTATTCAATTGGGTTAGTATAAGGCTAATCTTAAAATAAATTCAATAGTGTTCATTTTGAAATTTGGTTGAGTTCTTCTTGAGTTTTACTTTCACTTAGTGTTTGTTTGGTCTGTTGTGAATTTAGATCTGCTTCAGTCGATTACAATGTCAAGTAGTAGACTAGTAGAGACTTGGGCTGTTGAATAGAAGTGTTACGGTTGGAGATATTTAGGGGCTACAGAGACCAGAGCGTAATATTAAGATAAGCAATGTAGTCTGGTTTCATTGGGTTAGGACAATAAAGAAGACATAGAGAAGTTGTGCTAGTTTGATTTATTTGAGTTGTGGTGGTGTAATGTAGTGATGATGTAGTGGTGTAGGGTTGAGATGGATAGATTCCATTGAGTAGCTCAAAAGGGTATTGGGTTAAGTGAATAGAGGGGTGGGTGGGGTGATATAGTGGTTGAAAGCACCAAAATAAGCTAGTGCCACTATGGGGTTAGTATTTGTAGGACAAGGTTAGAGTTGCCGGGTTATTGGTTCTTTCACACTAAAGTGGATGAAAAGTCCGGTTGGCTTACTTAGAGGCATTGAAGCGATTGGTTTCTCTGCACTCAGTGTGATAGATGTGTTTAAGGCGGTCCTTTTCGTCGGCATTGCGTAAGACCCCTGGATCTTCATAGGATAAGTAAAAGTAGTAGAGATTGTCCTTCCATGGTATGGTTTGGAGTCGCCCAGGATCGGTAATAGAGATATTAGCACTACTATCAGGGAAGATGAAAATCGGCGAGGAAGTCTTTATAAGCCGGTTGAAGACAGGTTTACTTCTATTTGAGTATTCGCAAGAGACACAATGATCGAGAAGTATTTTATAATCTGGCTTGGCACAATAAATGCAAATCGGAAGCCCACAATTAAGATAACACATCATTTTGGTGTTTACATCCGAATCAACTTGGCGCTCACGTTCCGCAATATCTGCCTGATTAACTTCTATGTCTTCCGGGGGCATATAAAGGGTTCTTCGACATTGTGAACAGTAAGGAATTTTGCCAGTCCTCTTCAATTCCTGGAGGTTAGTTATGATGGTTTGAAAGGTCGGATTGATGTCCTTGTAATCGGGGATGTAGTCCTCAACTTTGTCACAACGGGTGTAAAGTTGAGACAGCAGGATATATGATATTGCGGTGAATATAGCTTTAGGACATTGATTAATTGTATGCATATTATCAAGATATGGTTGTAGCTCCAGTTCAATTGAGCCTTTGTTAGGCATTATGTCCTCGATCTGAATAAGCTGAAGATGGGGTAGATTATTGGCCATAAATTTGTACGAACCCAATCTCCGGACTTCTTCGATCAGTTTAAAGTTGGCCAGCCAGAGAATGGCTAGATTTTTGAATCGACAGCGCAGCCGGCAGACAATAGTATTCAAATCAGTTCTAGTTAGGAAATGGGCGTCACTTATGCGCAGGAACATATTAGTAATGGAATCAAGCTGGATTGTGTTTGGAGGTAGGTTAGGTTGGGCGAAAGGGGTGGCATGACATTTAAAAAGATCGGCTTTTAAGACATCAAGGGTAATAGTGCAATAAATGAGCTTTTGCATATCTATCATATGAGGTTGGTTGGGGAAAGGAGGATCAGTGTTGTATTTATCAGGCGGGGTTAGTATTTGGACACCAAGATCTTTGAGAGCTTGTAAAGGTATGTTATACGAGTCGAAGATGATGGGTTCAGGAATTAGGACGAGCTTATGGAGGTCAAGTTTTTGAGTTGTTTCCGTCCTTTTACGCTTCTTGAGATAGTTAAACAGTGAGAACTCATTCAATTCCTTTCGCTCGTGGAAATACTTGACCTCATTTAGACGACTGATGCTATCAATTACGATTTTAGAGATCTTTTCGGCCATAGGAAGAGCTAGTATTTGGGCAATCGCAAGACTAGTGAAGCGTTGGTTTAGGAGATGGATTTCAGTTGGTTTTGAGTTAGTAAACTCATAGTAACCTAGCATTCGGTATAAAATGCAATCATCAACATTATCTAGAATCAAAGTCCCGACATTGATGTTGAATCTTAGAGGTCTATCTATCTCGCTTTTTAGTTTGGCCATGTCAAAGTTGGTGCCAATTGAAGGACAATTACGCACATTTAAGATGCAAAGTTCTTGCGCATTGATACTTCGTATCATATTTAGAAAACCATTGCACAGGCCGGACTGCCCCGGCTTAGGCTTTATATCACCACTAACAGTAAGTTTTGTGTAGCGTATATGCGAGCAGATTGGAGTGAAACGTGAGCCATCAAGTCTGATATGGACCGGTTCTTTAAGTTCCCAACTAGTGTCACTAAGTGCATGACCAAGGCACACGATATTCTTATCAACAAGATCTGCTGGATCTTTTAATAAAGCCTCGGCCTCATAAAGAGTCTCTAATCCTTGAAAGAAATCCTCTCGGCCAGCAGCATACTCAACCTCAACATTGCCAATGGAAATGCCACATTTGGCAAAGGAATCCACGAAGAATGCTTTCTTGTGGAAGGCCAAGAAATCGCAAAGGTGCGAAGTCACGAGTACCACAATAAGATTATCGACAAAGATGAGGGGGCTAGGACACGATTCAGATTTGTTGATCTTAACCAATCCTTGAATCCATTCCCGGTGATGCCAATCATTATATATTAGACCATGAAGATGGGCTGAGGACTTATTGTGCATTGCAGTGTCTTGGATGTCAGGCCATGGTGCAGATATCATTATAGCTGGGCTTGTAGCAGATGGTTTCTTAAATCCGGTTAGTGTTTTTATGCCACCGTTTTTGTCAAGAGCGAATATGACTTTGGCGCATTTATGAGCAGCCTCTTGAACGAATTTCACGTCAACCGTAACATGTGGCATGATATGGTCAATTATAACGGCAGAGTCAGCTGTGAGGTTTAAGCGCTCGAGATACTTAGAAATATCTGGAAGGTATTCATTATAGATAGTGATCTGTGAAACAGGTCGCAATATAACGAGGCCATTAAATATGTACGTTAGAAAGACATGCGAGTCAATACGTAGCTGCATAACCAAATGAAATGGAGCCGTGCTAGCCCATTTAATGGCATCTTCAGCCGCTTGCCGATGCATATCTAAATCAAAGTTATCTGAAACGCCAGGTAGAAAGCTAATTGTGCGAGATTTGTGACTGAGACTAACTAGAAGTTCCGCCTTCTCACACTCAACTAGGTTCAGAACCCGACACAGAAGCAACAAACATTCTTTATGGGAACTTACATCGACCACAGTATAGAAAATACTAATTTGCTGGGCCTCAACTACAGCAATCCTTCTTATTTCATCCAGTGCTTTCTTCAATAAGATTGGCTTCTTTGGGACTGAATAAGAAATGCACCAGCCTGAAAAGCGTGTCTTATACATAGGTGTCCCGCTCCGTATAAAGTTAGGATGGGTTGAAAAGCTTATCGCATACATAGGTGCCTGGTTCTGTGTAGAGCTAGGGTGGGCTGGATTTGGGCTGGTTCTCTCTGGAGAATGGGATATAACCTCAATACGCGGGGTAAACTCATCCCACCAGAAACCAATCCTATTTAGAGATTCAACTACCTCCTTTGAAGTTAGCAAATCCGGTTCATCTACTTCCATACTCGAGCTACTGACTATACTGGTCCAACTAAACAGTACCAGCAGAACACACAATCTAACTACAGTCCAGTTAGAGATCGCTAATCGACAGCAAGACATCTTGGTTGTAGAAGCATTGATTATTAGGGAAGTAGTTCTAGTCTTATGGCTAGGTTTGTGATTATTGGCGACTAACAATGAGTATCTTAATTTGTTTTGAATGTACGCACCTGATAGTGTCTTCATGCGCAGAGATAATGTCATAGATTTTGCAAATACCTTTGACTATATAGCCATCACAAGGCTATTTAACAAACAATTTGATAAGATAAAGGTGTTTAAGAAAGTTGAAAATATAACCTTAATAAAAAC